CCTCAGATTCTGACTTTTCATGCTGACAGCTTGACTCGTTGCACCACCCCTACCATCAGCAGGTACAGCTCGGAGCAAAAGCTCTGCAAATTGTCGAGACATCTTCTGTTGAAGACGTTCTCCAGTAGACTTGTCTCCAAGACAAGTTATTATTCGACGATACCTAGCGTTAAAGAAGAGAACATACCAAACACCCACTGAGATTAGTCCTAATTCTGTAGAATTTCGAAAAAAAAAAAGAAAAGGGCTAAAAATGACGTAAACTCTTGGCAAAGGTGACTAGTCGTGCAATGACGTCACTTCAAGAAAAATCAATAATTCGGTACTCACCACTCTATTCCTTCCACATTGCTTTTCCTGTCAATGGTGGAACAGCGCACCTTCAATGCAGCGACACGTTCCAAACAATATTCAAGGATGTCCCCTTAACCAGCAACTGATTAGAACAGAAAAGAAAGGAAAAACAGACGAAACTAACCTAATTTTTCAGACCGCGACAAATTTGTTATGGATGGTACCACACTGCCTAGAAATATATTTTCAATTTTGTTTAAAGAACAAAGTTCATTTCTAAACTCAGAAGACATACGACTATATGTGGTAATGTTCAATATAAATTGCATATAATTGTTCAACGTCCTTGTATTCATCGTCGCACAACGGTAGGGCACTGCAAGTCACTATAAAGGCCAAATATGCATCCACTCACCTCTAACGATGCTTAATGAAGTCGAATATATGGTGCATCCCTAAGGGATTGATCAACGCCGACAGCTTTATCCTTTTATTAGCTTTTACAATGACTTTCCTCGTCTACCGATGTACGAAATTAGGGTTGTACATCCTCCCGAACAAACCTATACCAATCTGGCAACCAAGGATGGATGCGTGGCATGATTAGAACGGAGAGAAGAATCAAACCAATGACCACGTGTATACCACTGCAATTCTAGACACTGGACAATACGTTCTCTCTAACTGAAAGCTTTAGAACGCGTGACGAGTTTGCGTTTCGACGTTATGCAAATTGATTTCATCCTTGTTATTAATCATAAATACTGGAACAAAGTTGTATAGTGTTCAGGAAAAAGCTGAGTTTGCACCTTTCCCAGGTCCAGCAACAATATTTTTTTCAATCTCTCCGACATACAGGATAGCCAATTCAGCAGCCTTTTCATAGCAGAACAATGCTTTCTTCTTATCGTAAACTTTCTCAATATTTTCCAACGCCTCCATGCAGAAACCTAAAAAGACGTGTGGATATAAAGAGATACTTAAATGCATAAAAAACTCTTCTGTTAATGATAAATAAGCGAATAATAGACCACCCGAATGTGCCCAATCTCAGTTTACCGCAACACAACGATTCTGTGCAGTTCGGATAAAATGAAGGCAAGATCAGCCCTATTCCATTAAATGCGATTGCAAAGACATGTAAAAACCAATATTTTGTAAGTTATAGATAAATTTCAAACCAATAATACATCACAGGAGATGGAGAGTTTTCGTTTTAACGAAGTAATGATCGAACTAAATAGTGCTGGTAGCACTATTGCTGGCAGCAGTTATAAAACAAAAGTAAAAACGAGGTTCGATCCACGCCGCAGACACCTGCACTCTGGAGTTTTGCAAATATCTCAACATCATTGTAGTTGAACTAGATAATACTCATACGTGCGATGGAATACTACTGTTGCGCAATGAACGTCAGAACAAGTAATACCTTTTATAGCGTAGACTTCAGCAACCAGACGGAGCGCTCGAAGAGTACGGAAGGGTGTGTTGGCGAGTTCCATTCCAGAGCTCTCAATATCCCTCAGAGCCTAAATTGTCGAAACTAGAGAGCTGAGCAAGGCGAGGATGAGAAGGCGAACTCACACCTGTGTATAGGCTGCACAAGTATAATGAAGTTTAGCGAGCAGCAAATGCGCTTCTAAAGCCGCAGCATCACCGCTACGTTCAATTGTACCATTCAGAAGCATCTCAGCTTCCCGTAATGCACTGGTATGCTCGCTTCTTGGTAGAACCTCTAAAATGTTGGGTCTATCGGAGGCATGAAATCCCATTAAAGGCCCAATCTAAAGAGTTACCGAACTGACTACCTTACCAAGGCGAACAATTGATGCCGTATATTTCTGATAAAATGCACAAAGTGGATAACGAAAAGGTTACCTTCTAGAAACTATGAAGCTCCAAAAGCTCTCGACGTTGATCAATCCCTAAAGGATGCGCCATGCGATCGACTTCAATAAGGATCGTTGGAGGTGACTGAATGCATATCTGGCCTTTACAACGACTCGCGGTGAACTACCGATGTATCGAGCCAGTGCTGCTATCCTCCCAGACAAGTCTGGTACCAATCTGCCGACCCCAGTGGGATGGAAGGCTTGGTGAGCTTGGGGAGCAGGCATCGATCACGTGTGTATTGCAGGGTGCCTCTAAGCACTGCGCTTCACGCGCTCTTCTAGAAACTATACGAAGAAGAATATGCAAAAAAAACCATCAGAATTGAGACCAGTGAATGTAGAACTATTATATTGTTGTAAACAAAACGTACACAATTAATAAGGTACTGTACAGCACCAATTGAATTTCAACAAATGCCTCACCGTCCAGTTTTTCGAGGAAAGTCTCCAGCATCAATTCAGCTTCAACCAATTCTACCATATCTTCCATTCCCGAATGCTTCGCCTTCATGGCTCGAAGCAAATCAGACAACCGTTTCCAATTTCCTTAATATACCACGATGACTAGCATCTACAAAGATGTGATAGGCCACAGTAGGTGAAAAGCTTACCATCTGCTCGCGCACGATCGACCTCCGCCTCCAGCCTGCTTCCACGAAGTTTGGTCGTCATTGAGGAGGCAGGAGTTAAAACGACCAATTTTGCACAGCTTCTACGTCAGGTTTCTTTTTTGTGAATGAACATGGAAACCAAGTATGTGGTGGGTAGTGCAGTCTCAAATTCGAAACGTGAATGGTTCGAATTCCGCACCAGTTCTGAAGGAAGTTCAGGAATCCAAGCTGATGACGAACATTCCATGCGGTCACAACTGATCGCGCACTAATGAATCATTGTTACACAATATAATATCTGTCATTGGTTTACTGCAGTAAAAGGAAATCGAACGAAAACTTTAAGAGCGATCTTCCTCACTGGAACGAAAAAATCAACAAAAGAGGTCCTTAGTCTGAATTTCTAAGTGCAAATATTTGTGGGTATGCATCCACTATACTGAAACCAATTATCAATTTTCCCTAGAGATCACCTACACCGAAATAAACAACCTAGTGTTCGATGTCGAGTTCTTTTGAAGATGTAGATGTCTTGCTAAGTTTTAGCAGTGAACCAGATTAGTAAAACAGAATGCCGTCAAAGCACTGCATATCTGTTGTCGCTTTAAATTTACTTAAGAACTTCTAAATATCTCGACAATTTACACAAAGTAATGGTTTCTTAGACTCCAAAATGCTCTCAGGTCATCTAACGCTTATCATACCACCTAGTTGGTATTCCAATCCGGTAAACAATGGTGGTTTCTCAAAGTCTATTCCAACATAATAACAAGGAAACATGCGGCTAATATCACATAGAAAGGTCAGTAAATATTGCGTTGGCAAAAGTGTACCAGCAATCAGCTACATGTCAGGGAAATCTCTCTAGGTCTCCAACATTTGTCTTGAGCGCCAAAACAAGTTCTTTCGTGAAAAAAAGGGCATCACGTGACCATTCTGTAAAACACATCAAATACTACTGTTACTCAAAGTGAAGAAAAGCATGTGGAAAGGACGTATTCCTAACTAGCACTGCTGTAGTACACGAAGACAGGGAAAGGATGTGTAGCCCTTTTGTCACATGAAACAGAAACAAGAAGTTTTATGAAGGCAAGAAACCAGTGACCATGCGAACACAAGAACAAGAAGTGAATAACACCTAAGACTTAGGGTATTCTTAAGCAATAAAAAACTATAACAGAATGTAAACCTTCAATATGGGAGCTATTTTCACTAAACGAAATATTAAGCCATTCCTTTGCCACCTTCCATCTTTTGTAAATGTTCCACCATGAAGTTGCTAGCATCAATCATCCGATTTACGCAATTCTAGAAAATACATTTGTTCCCAGCTTTCTTACTCTGTGCGTCAATATAACAGCCAAACAAATTTCGCGTGACCATTCTATATTAACTCAACAAGTAAGTAAAAGTAAACCTAGTGCTAAATTTTCATTTAGTGCCAATTGCAATTTTTCATGGCAAGGTATGGTGTAAAATATATCTACAATGTGCAGAAATATTTGCAAAACTCTGGACTGCAGATGTCTGCGGTGGGGGCCGAACACGCTATTGCCCATTCAAGGAGTTAAGGCGTTCACCACTACACCATGCAACACCTTCGTTTCGCCTTCCACTCAGATAGATTTCTATCTACCAATGCCATCAGCAATCACCTGTCAATGGGATTGATCTGTGGAGCCGAAATTGGCGATAAACCGAGTTAAGTAACTATTACTAAACTATTCCTCCCAACGATTTACCGCCTCACCGTTGCTGGGAGGCGTTCCCCAGCGTCGGGCTGCGATGTACAGCAGGGGGATTCATCTGCCTGGCAAGGTTTCCCAAGCTGAGAAGAAATCTAGCGCTTCCATCAAGAAGCCTAGCTAAGAGTAAACCGATACCAGGATCCGCCACCGTCCTGGTACCAAAGTCCCATGGTGGCAAATCTCCCTCTGATCCGCTAGGGCTGACTGTTCGTAGTGGTGAAGACCTGGGGCAAACTATGGCCAGGATGACCACGGGATTCCAGCGAACCAAAATGACTTGACCAGCAGATCCCCAAAAATGGAGATTATGCTGGGGCCCGCACAACCAGTGAGGACGGGCCATTCAAGAATCACGTATCAAGTAACTAAGTATTAAGTTACTTTTGTTAGAGTTCTTAGCAAAAAGGCACTTCTTGGAAGAACAGTAACTCCCCGAGTTGTTCTCATACTTTACATTAAAGCTCGCAACATTTTTCTAACAAAGTGTAAACCTGAAGACATGTAGAAGTCTTTCCATCGAGCTTGCTTGGTGGACGATAATCCGCAAAACATATATCCCAGCACCGACCAGTTAACGTATGCACCTAGAACCTCATATTTTCATGAGTACATTACTGATGTACTTCAGTATTAATAATTAACAGGTAAACAGACAATGCAGAAAGTGCATCAATGTAAAACGTAGAAATACGAAAATGTAAGAAACATATATACAAAAATCCATTGAGACACCTGTTCCGTGAACTTCTGTCTCTGTGTTTCAGATTGGAGCTGCTGAAGAAATCGCGCCAATTGTGGATCACCGTCCATAATTCTAGGAAAACTCGTCAGGCCAACATCGAACGAAGCGCATACGAACGAATTTTAATTGAAAGACAACGAGGTGAGCATATCATAATCAGAGAACAGAGGATGGAAAAGCCATGAATTGAGGTGAAAAACTTCAACAGAAGTCATTTCATATTTATTGCCTAAATTAGAATTCACGAGAAAGAAGTATTTCATTCTTGTGTGGACGTAGTTCCACTCCAGCAGTGTCTGAAAATAAACGGTACACAACTCCTTATAAAAATAATGACTCTGGGTCTGAAATAATTAAACCCCTTTTGAACAATGACCAACACGAAATGCCACAAATTATATCAGAAAGCACACATTTAAGAGCTCTCTTGTAAGTCAGTGCGTCGAGTATCTAATTAAAAACCTTCTCAGTTCTTATCTTTGACTTTTATTCCAAAAAATCGAAGATGCAGTTCTATATGCCAAACTATCGAAGATAAGGTGGACCCGACACCTGGTGCGTATGAACCACAACCGACAGACTAGAGCTGTTAGTGACTGGATTCCTCGGGATGTCAAACGTACTGCAGGAAAACCACCGAGCCGATCGTTAGAGTTCTTCACGAAAAGCCTAGAAGAAAGATACGCTGCTCAGCGAGTCCTTAGATCGAACGGAATCCACTGGGCTACTCTTGCACGCAACAAGGAAATATGGACGATTTGCTGGCGGTCGCTCAAGTCAGCGGATGACCAATGGGACGACCGGTGAGGTAACAGGTGATCAGTTCTTATAATGACAAGCATGCCATAGCAAGAAAATCAATAAACCACTAAATAGAGCAAAATCACAACAAAGAGTTAACACTCATGTAATTGCTCCGTCAACCTCACGACTAGTATTCAATTTCTGGGTTCAATAATAAGAATGGCCGACTGATTAAGGACGATATAGAAGCTGAATATCTGATAGAATGCAGAATTTGTGAGGGAAAGAAGCGAATGGCAAATATGCTGGGGCCCGCAAAACTCGTGAAGACGGACCGTCTAAATATCTAAGTGAGTAGGTAATAGGAAAAATAAGTTAATGTTTCAGTTCTTTAAATGCTACACTTCTTTTCGTCACACGAAAAAATCGATTTTCTGCACTGAAGCAAAAGTCGTGGGAAGGAGAGTGAACTAAATAATGTCGATGATCACAATGTAAACTTTTTCCTACTGCCTATTATTATTTCTTAAGGCAGGTTATGATTTGAAATACAACCACTACGATCCTGAGATGTTTGCAGACTTAGGATTCTAGGCTAGATCGAGCCCACGATTACTACGGGCTCACCTGTTACCCACTGTACCACTGAGGCCCTTGTTCTGCTTTTCTCTTAGTTTTTTTGCAAATATCTCAGCATCATGATGTGGATGATACTCTTTTCTTTCTTGGTAACACAATACGATGTTATGTGTAGTAAGGCATACCTCACTATGTAGCCACTGCAGTTATAAAATGGAACCAGGGATGGGATTTAACAAAAGAAACCAATGCATTCAATGGAAATATTTCACAACTAAGCACATTCCACATAATCTAAAACTGCCACATGAAAAGAAATATAAAACCAATACAAAAACGAACTTACGACCCAGTCGTCAAGTCAGAAAGCCTTCGATACTCAGATAACTAGCTCCATAGGCTACTGAAACAAATAATGGACGTATAGTGATCAAATGCACATCCCTAATGAATACAAGGGCCAAACAAAACACCAGCTTACCAGCCTCCACTAGAAGTCCAAATATTACAAACTTTCCAACATCTCTCTTCACTCTTTCGGTAGCTGCTTGTTGTAATTCTGCAGTGGCGAGACCTCCAGGAAATATCATAGTTCTAAAAATAATAGATAGCACAGTGAAATACTCAGATGGATAATCTTCATTCGGATCAGTTGTTTCACTCGCGTTCAATCTGCTAAGCCATAAACATGAACATGACCTTCAGAATCAACAATCACTTATGAGAATATCTAAGTACAGATAGGTATTCAAGGTTGGTGTGAGTAATCGTCTGCATTCTACATGGGATACTCGGAACCATTATAAAATCTACCTATGTATATCTCGTCCCATAGAACGGCCACAGAAAAATGAAGACCTCTCCCCTAACGCAACATAATGCACAGATGGAACATTAAAAGTACGTAAGAAAGCAAGTAATATGTCGACCAGTACAATCATCCATAGCTACCTATATTATCTGTAATCCTATTTATTATCAAGTGATACGAGTGGACACAAGAGAAGCCTTCATTCTCTGTGCCGTTTGGGAGCTAGGGCTGACTAGAAGTCTCTACTCACTCATGACACACTCAAGATGAAGCATGAAACTTCGTTTGGCATCTTTTATTCTCCCCATTTTGGTGATTAGCACCTACCAATAGCTAGCCAGATTCTGTAGACCGGTGTATATTCAGAGAAGACTGTTAGAATACCCTATTGTAGTAGACATCGAGTTAGTCACACGATTTCTCCTGAACCGATACGCACAACACAGTCGCACACTCATGAATAAATAATTACGTAGGCACTTAAAGCAGAATTTAACCTGGAGAAGCCGGATTAAAGTGCTCCTGAGCCTGAATCCACTTATACAGGAAGAACACAAGATCGCTGATGGTGTGAACGACTAACTCTTAGAGGTCATAATGGGACACGCTATGTAGTCCAAGCGGGCTCCTCATATCCTGCATAGGGAAGAATAGTAGATCACCATGGATTGATGAGATAACGCCGACTTGATAGGATAAACCTGTAAACGGTTGAAGAATTTATATGGTGCATATCCAGAAAGTCAACAAATGTGCTTGCCAATCCACACAGGCCACATTTACATGCTCTGAACTTACGATGAGAATTCTGGAAGGGCTCTCGAACAATAAGCACATCAAAAGAACAAATAGTTCTTAAAGAGATTCTACGACCTTGTGAGTTGAATTCTTGCCTTGGATAAGCAATACTACAAATTGTATACACTAAAAAGAGGCTAATTTAAATCGAACAGAATTTTAAGGAAGAAGAACGTTATGAAAATAATACTTACTTCGAACTTAGGTATCTATAACTACCTGCTAAAAACTTTGTATCTTTCTTTTTAAAGCTCACGTTCCAATGAAACTCTTGTAAGTGTAGTTGCATACCGTCGAGGAGTTTGTTCACACTTTCGTAATCCACCTAACTTCAAGACATTAGTGTCAATCCCATGTGTATTGCAGGGCGCGTTTAGTGCCAATGGTCAGAGGCGTCCTGCAATACACATGGGATCGATCCCGCGCCCCAGGCCCACCAAGCCCTCCATTCTTCCGGGTTCGGTAAATTGGTACCAGAGTTGTTTGAGAGGATAGCACTAGCTCGATACATCGCTAGGCCACCGCGAGTCATTGCAAAGGCCAGATACATTCAATCACCTCCAACGACACTTAATGAAGTCGAATGCATAACCGTATCCCGCAGGGATTGATCAACGCCGAGAGCCTAATCCTTTTTATCCTTTTGTTGTCAATCTATCAAAATATTATCCCTGTGAGTTGTTGAAACCCTGAACAGAATACTGGATAAATGATAGGTTATTCCATAGCAAAGTATTTCTCACAGTTCATCAATATCGAAGAAATGAAACCCGTTCTGAAACTGTTCAAGCCACATCTATGAACAACAACGAAGAAAAAACAAAGCAGAAACTTAGGTTAGCCGCGAAATCAATACTCAAACAGGAATCGTTAGCACCTTGATTCCAAGCAGCAGTCACCTAGTTCTTTCTTCTTAACACATTCTACACGCTGTAAAATAACTGATGTTACGTGAAAATTCAATGCAAGTAGAATCTAACGGCGGAGGTCCTGCCAAAAGTGTGCAGGTACTGAACAGTTGTGCTATTGTTCTGCTACTGATTGAATACGGATTGGCACATCGCTGCATTACCACACTATGCAACTGCTTTCCATTTAAGTTGACCACTCAAGTAATCGCGTAATTCCTCCCTGAACTTCCGAGAGAACTTCATCAGGGCCTTGTCTCCACGATTTTCTATAAAACCGAAAACATCTTCGAACCATTAAAGGTCAAATGTTAAGATGTAGTAAGTCCAATTAGTAGTTATGTATTTAAAAAGTACCAAACTCTCATTTCTCACCGTGTAAATCACCATGGAATAGTCCATATCTTTCTTCTTTATGGCAAACTCAATCAATTTGCAGTTATGCCCTAGAACTGAAGACCGCTTTATATCTATTAGAAGAGTAAACAAATATTGGCCTAGTAAGTACGAACAAGTGGACAAAGGAAACAGGAAACGGTTTCCCGCCTCATCGTAGCAGGGAGGGGCTCCTGGGTATCGGAATGCGGTGTACAGCACGGGTATCCATCCTCCAACAGGGTCTCCCAAGCTGAGAAGGAGTCCGGCGTTTCTATTAGGAAGTCCAGCTAAGAGTAAATCAATACAAGCATCCGTCACCGTTCTGGTATCAAATTAGTCGCATGGTGGCAAATCGCCCTCTGATCCACAAAAGTGGCGACTACCATTGATGGTGACGACCTGACACAGCCCGGGACTCCAGGGGACCCCAATCTCCAAACCAGCAAAACTGCGAAAAGTAGAAATTATGCTGGGGCCCGCACGACCAGTGAAGACGGGCTATCCAAGTATACAGGTAAGCGTCTAGAAGCAAGTCAGGTTATAATAAACAAAGAAGATAACCTTTGTTGTGAAACTCGTCAACCACAAGACTGATGAAAAACTGTAAACTGTAGGTAAATAAAAAATCCCTAGAGGGTTGGCGATGATGCAAAGTCTTCAATGAACCCATTCTCATTCTACCCGAAATTGTCAATGGGGCAGAATATCTAACGACGGAATATATTCGTAGTCCTCAATAAACGAAGAACTACCGAGTTTGCTTTAACTCTTAAAAAATTGGGAGCAGTTGAACGGCTTCATTTATTTTTACTAGTACGTGAACTAGATTGTTTTTCTTTACCAAACTGTGTTTTACTGCAAGCGAAGTTATTACTAAGCAAATGCTAAGTGCCAAATATTTCTCTCAAATCCTTTTTCCATTGTTCCGTTTTCAGCTACATCGCAACATCAATTTTATCTCCGTTCATTGTTCGTGCTAGTAGTTTCGGTAGTTTCTCGACCATGGGCATTTTTTGGCGCGCATTCAAAACCTGTTTGTTTCCATTCGTGTTCATCTCCTTCAAAGTCGAATCAATAAACTGCTGATGGTTTCATCATCGTCAGTGGTCAACTGAGGAAATCGACGTTTTCGATTTCTTAGATAACCTTACTAGTATCTTATTCGCTCCGATGGCTTACAGAACGTACGCTTCTAGGAGTTCCGTTCGAGCCAACAATCTCGTGTGCAGAAATGGCGCGGCACTTAACTACGCTGTTCCTTCCAAATCCTGAGACTACCACTTCTTAGATTAGCTTTCATTTTTATATGATGATTGCTTTAAATCGAAAGTATCTGTGTTTTTACAGTATCCACGTGAGATTTGTCAATCGTAGCGATGTTATCTTGTTTTTTTCAGAAGGAGCTAAACCTTCTGGATCTACAATTCTCTCCTTGTTTTTACTAAATTGTACGACTTCTTCATGAAGACATTTTGTCTGTTAGATAAACCGTGCCCGACTTCTTAGTTGGGATATTTTCTAATTAGTTTTTCCTCTTCATAAACAAAGTGTCACAGGTCTCCTGTATCGATGGGAATGTTGATGCTAAACATTTAGCTATTTTTTCAGGTTTGCCAAACCTCCAGATCACAAGAACTTTTGGATTCTTCCGGTGTCCATCAAATTTTGCGGTATGGGTAATTCCGCGGCCAAATTGAAAGAAACTATGAATTCGACTCCTACCCCATCGTCTGTTGAGGTCACTCCCAATATCGAAAAGGCGTTTGTAAACTTAGTTGGAGACTCAACTGATTGCTTAACATTGGGCCACCTCGAGGTGAGTGTTTCTGTGATGTCCTTATCTACATTATCTTTAGAATCACAGTGTTGCCGAGATATTTGCAAAACTCTGGACCGCAGGTGTTTGCGGTGGGGAGCGATTGCACTATTACCCTTTCCGGAGGCTAACGCGCTCACCACCACACCATGCGGATCATACGTTTCGCCCTTCTCTCAGCTAGTTTTATCTCTAGAATGATTTGACTTACTACTTTTACGACCTTTCGAATTATTATTTGATAAGTCACTGTTTTTTTTTTGATAAGCAGATTGTTGTTGCAATGTTTATTCCCCGACTAGCTGACATTTCGTTGAATTTTGCCGTCTTCCAAAGCGCGGAAGGGCTATGTTGGTGCGCAGTCTATTCAGCCCAATAGTTACAACGTAGTTCCAACAGAAAAGCGCGGAACCTGAATTGGAATCCTACTAGGAACAGCCTTCGCCGTTTTGCTCTTTGTATCTAGCTATAAAATCTTAATAGGAAGTTGGTCCTGGGAATGGTTATTTGATTTCTTCTAATGAAAAGGCAACTTATTTATGTTACACTTTTTACTTATGAATTCGTCGGTTTCTCTTAGCAATCGCGAGGTTGTTAAACAGCGTACGTTTACTTCCATAACACACATACAACATAATCGTAACTGACGTTTCGGAAGAATCGCCTTCTTCAGAGCCTGGAAGGGTATACTGATATATAATTTATTAAGCCAAGCGCTTCAATAACACATACAGAGATATGAAAATCTAAATGACAGTTACATGGTCAACAGCTTCTCGAGAAAACCCACCGTTTTTACGTGCTTTCCTCTGAGGAGGAGCCGCTGATCAGCGTATAATTTTATTTTACTTATTTATAATCCAATGCCGAGGTTAATAGAAAGTCGATCCTGGGAACTTTTCACTTATTTTACCTTCAAGGCTAATCCTGAGTTCGAATCTGGACTGTGGTATGAGTTTTGCTAATAATTCGGCATCATTATGATTGCATTTATACTGTTTTTTAGATCTACCAGTTGGACTTTGTTAAGCGAAACTGCTTATTAACGATGGAGTTTCTATAAAATTTGACAAATGAGTTCTCATAAATCCTCTCTCATTAGAACAGTCAGAGAGTTTTGGTTTTAGCCAAGATGTAACGCGAATGTAGAAATTATTCTTGTGAACAGTTTGTAGTGGTTTTGTGTTCTCCACTTTGAACCTTCACTTTTTTGGTCCTTGTTTTTTAAAAGGCCTTGACAGTGTATGTTGGGCAAGTTTTTCAACTTTTAACCTTTTTTCTAATACCTAATTTTATTAACCTTTTCATCAATCGATATTTCATAAGCTATCTTTTTTAGCAAGCATTTAACATAAGATTGGCTGAGAACTTATGGAACTTTCTCTCTGGGTCGAAACCGTTCGATGACCGACTGACGTTAAACGAGTTTGCCCGACATGTTGTTAGTCTTTGGGGAACATCTACTGATGTTTATGTCCAAAGTGAGCACTCTTTTTCATAACTTACAGCTCAGTTTAGATTCTAGTCCGTTCTGAAATGGCTTATTGAACTTCATAGTTCAAACATCTACGATTACTGCGGAAGTGAGCGGACCTTTTAATTTCGATTTTTGCAGTCTGTCAGCCTGTTCTAAATTTGGTCAAACAATGTTCTGAAGCTGCTGGGGCGCGAGCCGTTGCCGGTGATGAAGAATTCATTGCCAATCTCGCTTGTAGTATGGTGATTTTGGATGATATAACATAAAGCATAGTATTCTTTCTTTGATGAGCTTACACGAGGTTGATAATTGTATTATAATAATAGTAAATATAAATAATAATAAATATAATTATCAACCTCGTGTGAGCTCATCAAAGAAAGCATATATACTGATTAGCCACACCAAGGTTCAAGGAAAGTCGGTTTCGAAATAGAGCATTGTCATAGTTGGTTTTCTTAAGATTCTCTTCCACGTAGTTGCTTAATTTTCTAATATTCCCTGAGAATTGAATTTAAATTTGCCCCGTATAACTGCCTACAGTGATCGGCGAACTACCGATCTTCGACTGATGAAGTCGAATTACTAACTTCTTCCTCGCAAAACACCTGTTTTGCCATATATTGCCAAATTAAAATGATGTGGGAGAAGAAGTTGCCTACGTTCTTTCCGTTTTCTCTGTTCTGGCTGCTATTCGCTGTCATGTCGTACTTGTCTACACTTATATCTATTAGTAAAGTATGAGGGCGCGTGTGGCGCAGTGGTTGGAGGCGCCCTGCAACACACATTTCTTTTGTTACCTGTGGGACTAAATCTTTGTCTCATTATATTGTATATCTCAAGTAGACTCGCTATTGTGGACTGTTCAGGATTTGAGAGAGCTGTAGGTGTTCAAGAATTCACTGGTTGATACAAGAGCCACCTCCACATAACCTGTTCCACTTACAGCTGTCGAACTCAATGAGAATATTAACGCTTATGAAATCGTGTAGATGTTAATGTTAAACATTACAGTATCCATTTCACCTCATAACTTTGTTCTTCTATGTCATCTAAATTTGTAGCACTGTAGGAATCATCCTGCTTAATTTAACACTATTTAGAGTGGGGACAGTTCAAGTGTTGAGGAGATCATCGATTGGAAGAATTCTGTGTGTCCGGCCTTCTGCCATGCTCTACAAGGATGTGTCCTACACGTGCTTCTCGACCAAGAATATGTGATATTATTCAGACCCTTGTTCTTTGTTTCAGTCGTAGTTGTAGATCTATATATCACCGTTTAATTTTTAGCCAATTATTGACTATTCGTCGGATATCTTGACTCCAATGCAGATGTGGTACATTCAGTGCTGTCTACCAAATGTTTTCTTTCCAACAGCAAAGGTAGTAGCACTGGTTCTGCTCATAGCATAGTAGTGTTATTGCTGTCATTTTCGGATTCAACACTAAGTGCATCACAATGGACTCCGCTGTACTCCAGTGCCATACATGGGATTAGTGTGAATCGCTTTGAAAACAACGTTTTCGACTACAAGGGTCCTACGGTGTCCGTATTTCAGCTTAACGATAGCAGAGTTTTCGTGTTGGCCACAGAAGACACGTGGCGGTACGTTTTTGACCTGAAAGAAGATATGTTTTCCGCTTAGCACCCAGGGCTGAGTTTGAGCGATTCGTTCGGTTTTTGACAAGGTGGACTTTAAAATACAGAGTTTGACGCAAACCTTTTTTATTTTGACGTTGATATCTTATGTCACTCAAATTTCTGGCTTTGTTTTTAGGCATAGTGCTAGTCGATACGGAGGACCCAAGACAAAACTCTTTGAGGTATCACCTGAACTAAAGGTTTGGTCTCCTCCTTCACCAATTTATTGCAACTTCAAAATACGATCAGCTGCGTTTGGTATGTCGTTTTCAAATGTTATGAAAATCGATAAGGAAATGGGAAATGTCAGTGCTATTGAGGTACGCCTCATTTAATCTTAAATCTTAGTTCTCTCCAATTAGTTTTGTATGTTTACTTGATACCCAGGTTTGGGGTTGTGCATCCTCCAATGCTCTTGAGGATCAAAAGCGCCTAAGAGTCTGGCAGAACCAGCAAAAAGAGAGAAATTTGAAAGTTAGTTTTTTCTGTCCTTCATAAAGTCTTTGTTTCTGGACCCATTATTAACGAATAAGTTTGAGGAAACTGGTGTAATGGCATGTTATATCGCCGTATTAAAGGTACCATTGCCGGGAAATTGGGATGACAATCCAGATAAAACGATCTTGGAGATGGCAGGATTTCAGTTTTCTGATGAGAGGAAGAGGATGGAAATGGAAAGGACTGCTAGGGAATCGAATTAATTCGTTTCCTTCTTCTCAACTATTTCACCACTTGATGTTCAATTACTGTATTGTACATTCATCGTCTTGGGAATTGGGGTTACTATTTACATCGTGTTCATTGAATCTTTTGCATGTAACGTCCAACATTGAAATATCTAACAAGTCAATGCAAGTAACCTTTTGAGGGTTATTATACTTGGTGCAACTGTACTAATTTTTAAAGTGAAAGTCAGGAACAGTTCGTTTTCTTATGCAATTTATTGTTTTAAAGCGATCAAAGATTTAATGGTACAAGCCAAGTATTTGGTTCAATTTATACCTGTGAAAGGAGTATTGTTCAATATTTATTGTACCAGATAATGAAATGAAACTTATAAGACAATAGGCAACAGTTTTCTAATCCATAGGTAATCTCTGATTGTCGTCTGTGATACCCTCCTTAACTTGGTTTACAAATCCTTCAAGGTAGTTTGTGGTGCAAGTAATGGTTGATAGATTGCACAGCGGTTCAGAATGTACTTTAGAGGCAAAAGGTTACAAACATCTGGGATCACATATGTTTTGTGGATCTTAGTACTTCTTGTATTCGATTGGTTTTCTCTTAGTTGCCATCCAAGAAGGTATTCGGATTTTTTCGTGGAGATTCGACTATTGTTTGAAGCGCTTTTTTTAAATGAGTGTCATTGAATGGTGGTGTTATCGATTCTTTGTAGTTATTCCCCTGTTCGCTAACAAGTAATTGTGAGTTGTAACAATCAATAAAAAAAGTTGGAATGTCAATAATTTGCAAGTAAAGATAGTGCCCGTTTTCTCATTTTTGGGTGGGATCCATCTGCCGTGCTCTAACATGCTATAAAAAAGATATGCGACAAGAGGAGGGGGTTATTTCCGTGTTCGGTAACAAATTTCATAAAGGCAACGAACTGCCCTCGAAAACTACAGATGACTAAGTTTAGGCTAGCAAATAAATTTCAGACTGATTTTCATAAGAAGTTGTAGACCCCACTTCATAAGAAATTCTTGCTTCTCTATAGATTCCGTTATGTTGGTATGTTTTTTAGAAGTACCGCTTATTCTATACTGCCGTGAAAATAGGAAACCAAAAGCAACATTCGCTATATTTTCTTGCGTTGTTTTACAAATTAGCAGCAGCTTGCAACGTTATCGTTCCTGAGGACTCCTGAGTCTGAACTTTAGAGCACGGGTCTAACAGGGTCTGCCAAGCTGAGAAAGAGTTCTCTGTTTCCATCTGAAACCCCAGCCTAATGTCAACCAATACCTAGATTCATGGTTATTGTGGAAGAGAGGTGACAAGCATTTCTTCGGTCCACAAAGAATTACGGCAATTAAAAATAACGACGATTAAGCAGAATATCAGTTTAATTAAAGTCTGATGCATGACTTTTTATGATGTTGAATCATTCAAGTACGAGATATCTAAAAAAAAAAAGGACGTATGCCAAGCAGTCTTTAAAGTCAGTGCAGCTTGTTGACGATGTAGTGTTTCCAGTGATAAGACCCATAGAACTACAAAACCATGTGTCAAAGATGAATCAAAATCTGGGCATATTTTCACTATAAGGGATAAGTGGTAAAACTAGTAGAGATATGAAAGATTCCAAAAAGTATCGTGCATGTTCGCTTCAGGAATCGTGCCTACACGCGACTTGTATATTTGAGTAACGAGCTTCTTGTCTCATCCATTGGCTTCATTATTCAGATGCAACAGACTTTTCTTTAAAGTGAGAATTAAAGTGAGGAAGTGAGAACCTAGGAATTTATGAAAAAACGAATGTTCGTGTATAGGCTCCACTACGAGGATCCGATGGTGCTGTATGTGCTGTAGGATCAGAAGAATGTCGACGATTATGGATCTCTGTCAAACAACCATCAACTCCGATGAGATTTTTTTATTTTTCACGACCTGTATTTACATTAACTGTATAGCCAGCACTTCTTGCATTTGATTCGGTTCAACACATCCATCATCTGCGAAGGTCTTCGAACATTTCGCGTGTGGTTCTGACTACTGGTTAAAGATTGTCGTTTTCTTAAGAATATCATTATAGAGTTCTGGCCTACTCCTTCTACAGCGTTCCCACTTAGACTGCAGGATGTGAACTGTTTCCAGAGAAGTCTGGCACCAATTTTCCGACTCCGGTGGGATGGGAGTCCTGCTGACCGCATGATAGGGCAGAACCATCACTGTGGTCGTGACGATCAGCATTAGAGCGAGCCACTGCACTGCTACTGCCCCTTAATTCAGAAAATTATTGGTGTTAAATCTGCAGACAACTATTGAAGAGGTCTAATGATTTCCTTCAGTGCTTCAAGTTTCTGGAAATTTTCAAGCACGTGGACGATGTCTAGCACCAACTTTCAAATTTCCTTAAGAAAAAGACTTTCCAATTATATCGGAGTTGGCTAAGCTTCATTAAACAAAATGGCGGACACTTTATAAGAAAAAAATATATCTTGACGTTTTTATAAACATTTTCAACAACCAGTAACATAGCAAAATATTTCATGCTCTTATCTATCTAATCTAAAATTCGCAGCTATTCGGATGACCCGGTGATAGTTTAGTTTATCTTCAAAAGATGTTTTCCAATGAAAGGCTCACTTCAATGACGATTTCCAAGCGAAATATTTAGCGAATACATCCTATTCATTCATTAACAACCGTCATTGATATTAGTATAAATCCACGGCTTATACTGCTCCGGTACTCCTTTGTATCCCGGACGTTTTTTGACAATTCCGCGTTCAATAAGCGCATAACCCATTTCGACCATTGCTTTTGCTGGATCGCTGAACTCAAGCCCAAGAAGGCGCTTCGCCTGAAATCTCACTTCCTATGTTTAGTACTTCCTTACATAGCCAGACGAATTTTCTTCTAATTAATCATAATTTTATGATTGTATAGTAAGGGACTCCTGTAGTGTACTTAGTTCGATCGCGCGCCTTGAGGTAACCAAACCCTGCAGTTCTTCGAAGTCAGCACGGCACATCTTTAATTTAATGTACGCCGTACATTTTATCCTTTCTGATGTGTGATAGCACCCAAAACAATTTAGCCATCAGAGATGCGTCATGCAACTATATTCATGGTACCGAAGAAGTGAATAAGTGCATAAGTGGCACATAAAACAATCATATGTGGTGAGCTGCCGATATGTTATGACATTTCTCTTATCGTCCCAGACAAGTTTGGAATCAATTTATCAAGCCCGGTGAGATGGACGGCTTGCTGAGCCAAAGCGTAGTATTAAACCAACGATCGCGTGTTGAGCCGATTATTCGCATGCCAATTGGCTGGTGTCCATTGCTTGCTGCATGTCGGTACTACCGAAAGGCTGATACAACTGAATAATAACGAAGGAGATGATGATTGGGTTAATTAAGGATTCCTTTGACAAATAAGTTCTAGTAAATCGCAAGACCGTTTTTTTTAACCTCGGCAGTGATCAATAATTCAATGCTTTTCTTGGTGAGCAAACACGAAGTTAGTATTACAGCATTTACTAATGCGCAATATCTGACGTTTGCGGTTCCACCTTTTTCAAAGCCTAGAAAGATCAAACTGACATGCAACGTACTCAACCAAACACTTATTACTAAATCCTAGTAATAAGCGCTTCCCTAGTTTGGAGGTGTTCAACAAATTACTTGTCGTTACACCCATCCCACATGGCAAAGCCTGATATGCAATCATTAGTTAAGAACTAAAGATTAAGGGCTTCATAGGAAAATCGTGGATTCATATTTTTATGATCATCGAAATTAGTAGATTGGTGTAAAGATCCATTAGATATTCACCTTTGAGTTGTCGAAGCGAGCTATGTTGCCAACACGTTTGAGCGTGGCTGCAGCTTCCTTGTCGAAAAACGAGTATAACCAGAGTACCCAGTAAGGAACTTGGTAATACGGCACCCAATACCCTAAATGAAAATAAGTTACGAAATGAAACAAGTTGCAAGTGTCCTGTCTCTATTTTGCGCAATCTTGTCGTACAAGTACTACCTACTGAACTCCCGTACTACGGAGACAAACAGAGATAAGTTCGCATGCATAAGTAGCAATGATGTGACGAAAACCGAGAAGCACTGCACACGTCGTTCGTTTGCATATAGTACGCAAGGAACTCTTTCTCTGCTTGTGTTATTCAGACTAATCTGCTAGTAGTCGACGGTAGGGGTGCACACGTATAATCGGATTTGCAAATAAGAGAGGCCCATTTGTGAGGGAAGCAGGGACTCGCGAATCGATTCATGCACGGATTCTCTTTGCGACTTTTTTACAACGTGATTGTCAAAAGCTTTCTCCTTAACAGCGTAGGATCATACCTTGAGGTCTGAATTCTCTGCCAAGTACTTGAGCAATGTCGCGAAAGAAGAACGATGGTTGGCTTGTTATCTGAACGTGTGCTAGAGCTACCAACGATTACATAAAAATAGAGCAAAATGAAAAGGATAAAACCTTTGGCGTTGATCAATTTCTGAGGGATGAGCCATGTATTCAACTTCATCAAGCATTGTAGAGGTGTTCGAATGCATATCTTATTGGTACGGCGATTTTCAATGGCCTACCGATATGTCAAGTCAGTGTCCTTAGCTCTCTCTCTCCACACAGGTCTTGTACGAATTTTTTGACCTTAGAGGTCTTAGTGACCGAGGAGCACGGCGTCAAACCAGCGAAGCTGTGTACATTCCAGGACAGCTCCAACCACTGTGCCTTCAGAAAGCATGATAAATTTGACAAAGATGTGAAAATTGTTAGCAATGTATGGTCGAGATGACCTCAGTTCTACATCGTTCTTCATCGGTCGATCGCAGCAATCACTGTCACACAGAAAGAAGTGGTTTGCGGCAATTTTCTTTTGATCCGTAAATGATTCTGACCCGCCACTGGTCATGGTGAAGGTGTCGATACATCTCGGCACGGCTATATCGGGATTCCAGAAAGGACTACGCTCTGCTAACGTTTAGTACATATATATACACATACGAGTTTGACAGTTCAGTGGATGACGCTTGCACTAAGTTGAACGAATCGAAAAAGTGCCGAGTTCCGAGCAAAACGTGAAGACCGCATATCTATGTATCCATGTATGCAAGGAAAGTTGGAAAAGCTTGCTCACTGATGCTACTAATGATTGAAGTGGAGCACTGGAAAACAATTACTAAGAGATTTGCATAAATTATCGACGCCCATTTGTTACGCAGGGCGTGTGTAGCGCAATGGTTAGGTGTGCCTTTGAGTGAACCGATCGCTGGTTCGATTCCGAGCTCGGGCTTACCACGCGTTGCATCCTTTTGGGCTCCAAAAATTGCTACTGATCGTGTCCAAGAGGATAAACTGTACTGGCTTGAAGCATCGTTTGGCCATCGGAAGTAATTTCATAGGCCGAATATGTCTTCAGTCACCTCCAGAATACTGCGGATGGAGACGAATTCATGGCTTATCCTTCAAGAACTAATCAAGGCTAAAGGTTTTATTCCCTTGATGTGCTACGTGTATGTTATAAAAAGAGCTTGTCTAATGCTCTAAAATCATACGTGAGAAGGATACGGAGATCGATGTCCACTCACTAGTATACGCTCGCCATCGGTTTCTGGTCGACGCATCGCTTCGACGTGAGCTTTCGCCACATCACGAACGTCCACACATGCCAGATTCAACTCTGGAATGGCTGGCATTTCACGGTTGAGAAATCGTCGCATCAACTGAAATCGTTGTGTAACTCCCGCATTTACATGAACTGATAAGAAACTGTTTAATACATTTTTTATTTTGTTAGGTTGGACAAGCAAGAATGGTCGATTTTGATCGAATACTACCAGGCTCGACTGCCACACGATTTTGCTAATCTGAGTGAGGGTCATCATAGTCTACAAAATCATTGCAAGAGGATACAAGGTTATTTATTCTGCAAGGTGATGTTGATCTGACATTCTAGAAACAAACAATTTTTTGAAGATATTCTTATCAGCAACCTGATTGCGATCGATTTGTTCTTAAGAGTAGTTGTCGATAGCTTAAAGAATTGGTAGGTGACAGATGCGATGAATGGGTTGCTGGATGAGGTAAATAAAATAATGAAGGAAGAAGCTCTCCGTGTTCATCAAACCATGAGGGATGCCTCATGCACTCGACTTCACTAGGTATCGCGGGAGGTGACTGAATGCATATCTGGCCTTCACAATGATTCTTAGTGGCCCGCCGATGTATCGAGCCAGTGATGCTATCTTCCCAGATAGGCCTGGTACCAATTTGCCGACACACGGGGATCGATCCCATGTGTATTGCAGGGCGCTTCCGAACACTGCGTCACTCGCCTGTATGAAGTATTTAGCACTTTTTGTGGAACAGGATCGAATCTTTGCAACCGCAGCACAACTACACACAAGTGTCAATTTTCGATGCAAATAATGAATTTATTTATAACACTACTGTTCTACCATGATCATCTAACTAGGACTAAAGACGTTGCTGCAGACGATTCAAATTTCCCGAAACGGAGAAATAATTATAAACATTTGTTGATATGCACTCAGTACATGATATTTAGGAGATTCATCTCGGCCCAAGTACTGTGCTTAATATCATCAAGTTGTTAGCTTTTTAGAGGGTGAGCTCCTATTGTTTCCTCATTGGTGTGCTCCTGAGTGTCGAATTACGATAAATAGCTAGTTAACATAAACAGCAGAGTAATGAGAACGAGTTCGAGATTTCTAGAAGCTCTGAAATCTAGCAGGAAATAAAAGAATGACAGGGACTGCCATTGTTCAGGCACATATGCAGTCACACCCTTACAAATCTTACTTCATCTCACGTAGATGGAGAAGGACGGAACTGGTGACAACCTGGGAATGTCCTTGTATGTTTCTCGATACGCGGAAAAACTCTTGGAAAATAAAGAACATACCGGTTTGATGAAAACTGTTCTACAGTCATGCACTCATCTGCTTAGGTTTGGTTCAGGTTGGTATCCAGATTTGTAAGGGAGAATAAAATCACAGACTTGATACAACAGAAGGCCCCGGTGATCACCCTATAGTTCAAATGTCCATTCAATCAGCTCTATAGTGCTAAGAATAGAGTCGGATGCATGGTGAATCCCTTACAGATTGATCAACGCTGGATGTTTTCTCCATCACTCTGCATCTATCCTTTAGTATAATCGTCTGACACTACTAGTTTTACCACATTTTCCTCTTAAATTCGTTCCAAAACAATTTTTTGGCTTGTTATCAAATACGCTATTTTAGAAAACACTTTGAACCTTACCGAGATACTTGCGCCTTCTTCGTCGATTAACAAAGGACCGACCACAAATGTAGGATTAAGTGTTGTCAGTGCGAATCTGAAATGTATCTTCCTCACAAAAGTAGCAAAATATCCCATACTTTTGGCACGTTGGCCTGCTACTGAGTTCCCTAAACCAATTGTAGCCAAGATTAACCATCTAGTACAATTCCATCAAGCAAATCGTTGATTTTAGGGGAAACTATCCATGATGATTTTCATCTAAACATCGCCTTCTTATCACCTACGGCTTCGGTTGAAAACGGCTACTTGGGATGTAGTTAGCAATTTTTTAACTTATTAGTTACTGCCTACTCTTTTTAACGGCAAGGTATACATTGTGAAATATAACTTCAATGATGCTGAGACATTTGCAAAACCCCGGACCGCAGGCGTATGCGGTGGGGAACGAACGCATTATTGTCCTTTCCGGGAAGTAACGCGTTCACCACCACACCATGCGGGTCCTTCGTTATCGCCTATCTCTCAGCTAGTTCTATCGATCACTTACCATGGCACTAGTTCTATCGATCACTTACCATGGCAACTAGCTAAGAGACAGGCGAAACGAAGGACCCGCATGGTGTGGTGGTGAACGCGTTACTCCCCGGAAAGGACAATAGCGCGTTCGTTCCCCACCGCATACACCTGCGGTCCGGAGTTTTGCAAATATCTCAGCATCATTGAAGTTAGCAATTTTTGTTTGTCATTAATATAAATATGGCGAGTACATACTTATTTCCATTCTTTATTTTATCCACGAAATCCCATGCAGCTTTTTCAGCCAGTGTTTTGCTTCTCGAGTAGTAATCCACATCGGGATTGGTGACATCTGTCCAAGAAGTCTCATCGAACACTTTGTCCTGGGGATGACCTTCTGAAAACCTCTATATCACATTAATAGGGGATGATTAACTTTAATTCTATGGTTTACTATGGTTCTGTGATCTCTGACCAATGACACTACTATGCTTTGATCCAGCTTAATGCATTAGAAGGCCTGAACATCGGCAACTATGGCGTATTGTCTGATAACTAGTGTGACTGGAGAGTTATGAATTTGTTTCACTCGAGGAAGGAATAGTGCTCTGCTACCACAATGGTGCAAATTTTCTAAACGCTTACTTTATTTCTCAAATGGTTTAAATTGAATTTTTCAAGAATTTAAGAACGGATTTTAAGTTTTAGGCCAAAATTTTCCCAACTACGACAGCCTAAAGCACCAGCGATACATTGTGGAATACCATGACGTACTGATGTAAGGAAATACTAATGAAATATGATCTAGATCAACTCCAACTCTCTACGAACTTTTGAAGATTTATAACTTAATGCCCTAAAGTGTGAAAACTTACACTTTTCTGATAACATTCTATAAAATCCAATGGCTATTATTTCGATTTATAACGTCTTCTAAGAGATGAGATATGATTGGCTAAATGAGAAAGCGCGATTTTTTTAAGCTTTCATGAATCCTATGTGACTCACGCCGTCGCTGTGTCGCTGAGGTAGCTAGTAACAAAGTGATGAAACTAATTCGAAATCGAAAACAACTTTGTTAACAGAAACTATGAAGCTTTAGCAACAACAGAAAGAAAGGAGAATTCTTGATGAATGAAATAAAATTGTGCGATGGCTCGTTTCATGAATAGAGCAGGTAATGGCCTCCACTATTTCAAATATTCACATTCTTCAACACCCAAGAAAATGATGGGACTAGTGCTCATGAGGATAACTCAGTTGATAAAGATTGATAAAGAACTTGTTAGAAAAGATGGATTACAAAGGCCACACACACATACATATCATACACAGGTAAGCCTTCAAATTCTGGAACCTGCTATGTGGGTATTTCTCTATGCTTTAACAACTTGTGAAACTTAGAATGTCAATTTTCTTTGTTTTATAGCTTAACGACACTTAATTAAAACTGTCATCGTGGTGATAATGGACTGTGTGAATGCCTGCATCTCCAATTCTGATCTCATTCCATCTACATCCTGCACAAATGTCTTCGGAACGGTTTTCCTTTAGCGTTTCCCTCAGCCTCATTTTCTGACCGGAGACAGGAATATTTCCCACCTAGGTAACGTCTTCGGATTTGCGCTTCGGTTCGTTTTGATTGCGCATTTTTGGCCTCCTTGATGAAGGACGCAAAATACCGGTCGAGTCGATTCTCTCTGGAGTCCTGCGATAGCCGTGTTAGGGTGTTGGAAGCTCTTTGTCACAAGCGGTGGTGGATCGTTCTGTGGATGGGAAACAGCGAACCGATCCCTGACAAATCTGGTATCAATTTCTCAACTGTGGAGAAATAACAAGCTTAGTTTGTCTAAAGCGAGGTCGAGGAGGTCGTTGCACGTATTGAGCGTTATCACTACCCAGTGTGTTAACTGCACCTCACTTTAATCTATGAGGCCCCCATGCCGTTTTGCGCGGCGGGTCCACTCGAAGATGAGGAATTTTACGTTGGCTGCGGGGTTTATGATTTTTTTGACGAAAAAAATTTTTTCAGTGATTGTAGTACTTCGTAAGTTCTGAATATGACAAAGTTGTAGAAGAGAGTTTGCTCTGTCGCTCTTTGGTTGTGAATGATATTCACGCTACAATGTTCTGTGTGTTACTATGGTCCATTATGAGAATAAATTGCTGTCAGCACTTGGAAGTATTTTGCACCACTTTTAGTCTATTTCGGTGATTTTATATTCGCACATTCCATTCAATGATCACAGTAACTAAAACGAAACAATACTAATTTGCTAGCCAAATTACCAGGAAAGTCGTTTGCAAATCATTAAGCAAGAGAATGGTATTTCTAGTCTCACCACTCTTCCTATTTCTATCTCCTTTCGGCTAGCTATCGAACGAGTATGCATAGTGCGGCAAAAAAAGTTCTGGAACCCATTAAACTGAATACGGATGCCATAGGTGTCAATATGGTCACTTGGTCGAAACTATTATGTCCATAAAGAGGCGTTGTGAGTTAACAAAGTTCTGAAGCCAACACGAGTGATCTATTGTACCATCAAACAGCAGAAGAATAAACAGATGTGTTGTATACATTTCCTTGTGTAAAAAAATCTGAACTTGGTTTCTATCGCACATGCATTCGAAGGGGAAAATCAATGAATCCAGCTATGAATAAGACTTTTCGCTGATAAATCCTTATCATATAGATAAGTTGTTCGGCGATTATAGCAATGTAGTTAAAGAGGTTCCTGCTAAGCACACTGAATATTTGGTTCGATATCGCACTACGGTCTCGCCAAACCTTCCTTCTCTCTGAGCTCGAGAATTGGATACACGACTAGTCTAGGAGGGTAAAAATACGAAGCAGAAACACTGGTAAGCTCCATTAGCTACTGTATAGGCCAGTTATTGCATTGATCACCTCTACAACGCTATAAATTGAGCAAAATGACCAATCCACATTCCTCAATGATTGATCAGCACCGAACGCCTAATCGTTTACACTTAAAGGTGAGTTATCGAACTTTAGAATATGGGAATCATCCAGTAGCGATGTATTACACTAAGAGATGGATAAAAGCAAGTAAAAGTAAGTTAGTTATGGGATAATATTAGAACATTGGAAAGGATATTCTGGTGATGAAAACTTGCCGTTCACAGCTGTACAACTGCTCGTAAGTACGACTTTTTTAACCGAATACTCTTTGGACGCCGCTCGTAGTAAATTGAGTGTACCGGTGACGGCGATATCCACACAACTAGCATCAGGTACGATCATAAACGGAGAGGCAACGTGCAGGATGTACTGGCAGCCGGAGACAGCACTGAAAAGTACTGATTCGAATTTGTAACTCAGCGACAACAAATAGTTGCATAAGCACATCACTGTAGCACATATTCCTCCCGTTCCTTACTTTTCATAGCAAAAAGTCCATAAAAAAGTGCAGTACTGCAAAACTCCATCATGAAACCGCATATGAGCTGTTATGCTTGAGTCGGATTGACACGTTTTAGTGAGTTTACAACGTTGCCATGTTGCTGTAGCTGTTCGTGGATTCAACTCTAATCATACTTTTAACTTAGTCTTTTACCACCACCTTTTCCAACATTCTCCATTCATCAGATCTGCTTCGATCAATTCAAGCCGTCCGTCCTGCTGAAGTCTTCGAATCGGTGCCACCTTAACAGCTATATTTTATTTCCTGATACTATAAGCACATCGAAAAATGAAGCCGTTCTTTTTCCAGTGAGCCCAGTTATATTACATGATGTCAGGATGATGAAGATGTCTATTCAGATTACCAGAAATTCTTGTTTATTATAAAAGTTTACGAAAAAAAAACGCTGAAATTGATCGGTTTCACTTAGGGTCTCAGTGTGAATTTGATGAGCTTTCATATCTTCATGAGAACACACTTACAAAGGTCAGATTATAGTCAAGTAACTATGTCGTGGTGCTCGTATAGCCCAGTAATCGGAGGCGCCCTGCAATACACACGGGATAGATTCCTGCGCCCCAGGCCCACCAAGCATTCAATCCGTCCGGGGACGGCAAATTGGTACCAGACTTGTCTGGGAGGAGAGCAGCACTGGCTCGATACATCGGTAGGTCATCGCGAGTCATCGTAAAAGCCAGATGTGCATTCGACCACCTCCAAACGATGCTTAATGAAGTCGAATGCATGGCGCATCCTTTAGGGATTGATCAACGCCGAGAGCTTTATCCTGTATCCTGATATGTCGTCAGCGTGTGTACCCCAGCGGTTAGAAGTTCTGTGCAATACACAAGACTTCATTGGGTCCAATCCACATTCCGAGCCAACCAAGCTCCTATCCGTCGTTGTCGACTAATTGCTTCCGGGATTGCCTAGGGGCATAGAAAACGTAGCTCTATACATTGGTACGGTAGCTTAAGTCATTGCATAGGTCGAATGGGCATCCAATCAGCTCTACGATGGTAGGAATGGAGTAGAATACACGGTGTATCTTTAACGTGTAGGTCGAAGCTTGCTAACAACGAATTATTTCATTCATAATGAAATGAATGCTATGAACTCAAGTCGTAGGCTACCTAGGAGCCAAGATATAGAAGTTCGGCACCGAAACGAAGGGCGCGACTGGCTACGCCCACGCGCAAGACTACGGCACTACATCTGTTCTATCCAGCTAATCACTTGTTCGCAGAGTCCAATAATACATACCTTTTTCTCATTTTTCAAACTTCTTACTGTTCCTCTCACACGATAACCATAATTCAGTAGTAGGCGAACGCAATGTGATGCGATGTAACCCGACGCTCCAGTCACTAATACCACTGAAGAAGCTTAAGTTATGAAAAAGAAGTAACAACAATAACGATGAAACAACAGGAACAAATAAGAAAAAAAATCTAGTTGAAAGAGGGTCGAAGTGAAGGACCCGCATAGTATGGTAGTGAACACATTAGCTCCCGGAAAGGGTAGTAGCGGGTTCGATCCTTAGCACGAGTTTTACAAATATCTCAGCATCACTGCTGTTGTATTTCAGACAATAATTACGCTGCCGTGAAATATTGTAGTAGGCAATAAATAAAAAGCCAACATTTAGAAATAAAACATTATTGCCTGATAGGAAAAACTGTAGGTTCCAAAACCAACAACAAGTCTCTTCCTAAGAGACCAGATGAGCAAAAGAGATAGAGCTCATTTATCACTTCCGAAGAAAAGTGCCGTTGTAATTTTGGAAGAAAAAAGAGTCGACTGAGAAAGAAGTTTAAATAAAATCGAAAAACGATCAAAGACGACGTAACACCGAAGAACAATCAGACTAATTTTACGTAGGCAGGAATCATGAGATCCTGTCTCTTGGTTTGAGAAAACTTGCTAATTCATTACCTTACAAAATCATATATATCGTCAGTCTTGTTTGACGTTAGTAGTTGTTCTTTCGTCTTCAAAATCATTTGTGTAGGCTACAATTTAAAAAAGTATATTAGCAAAGGGCGCGCATGGCGCAGTGGTTGGAGGCGCCCTGCAACACACGTGGAATCTATCCCCGCGCCGGTGGCCCACTAAGCCTTCCATCCCTCCGGGGTGAGCAAGTTGATACGAGACTTTTGATACGAGAGAGGATAGCAGCACTGGCTCGATACATCGGTAGGCCGCCGCGAGTCATTGTAAGGGCCAGATATGCATTCAATCACCTCCAAACGATGCTTAATGAAGTTGAATGCATGGCGCATCCCCCACGGATAAATCAACGCCGAGAGCTTTATATCCTATCCTTGCCTATCCTTTTACATTGGCACTGACTTTCGTAAATGACCTCTATGCGTAGTTGAAAGCTTACAGCATTTTCTAGTTGGTACCGTATCGCTCCTTATAGCAGACGTTTTCCTTGGCTCCCTGTCAAGGAACGTCCACTTTTTTCGTAGTACGGGTTTTCAGGCCTTGGTGAGCATTTCATTAGACTTGTGCGAAAGTGCGAATTAGAGAATTAAACAAAAAAAGAACTGCGGAACGAATGACTTCCAGATGTGAGATTTGCTAGGACAAATTTTCCCTTCTATCATTTGTTGTAGTAATAGTTTCTATCGGTAACCAATAAAGTATTTAAAAATGGTTTTTCCTATTCAATGCCGACTGTCGCAATTTATCGTCCTACAAGCTGTCAAAGTTCAGTACTTTTCACGAATCTGTTCAAAGGTGGTGATGCATTCCTCTCGGAAAATTTTAGGTTTCACCGCCTATTTTCACTACTACTATTATTATTATTATCATTACTTCATTATCATATTTTCTTATTAATAGCTTCTTTCAAGGGAGCTTTAGAGAACAGTGACATCTTCACCTGATAACGAATATTCTGCTTCTGTAGAAGAAGGAAAAACCTTTCGCTTCCTTTGATCATGGACTGATAAGAGCGTGACAAATGTGATAGATCACAGAGTAGATGGGTATCATCTACTGATCCTCACATCACCAAAATGTTGTTTAAATCGATTCGTTAAAAGTAGTGACACTGAGAAAAATTTCCTCAGAACTCACGTGTGTCGTTATTGGCGCTATCCATCGAAGTGCGGCCGTTGTTTTGGAGGAATTCGAATTTTTTACAGTTGCCTGTGAAAAGTGCAGTTATAATCGTTACACTATCACGACGTTCGAACGAGTTCGTCGAAATTGGCAACGAAACCAAACGAAATCGAATTTGAAAGAAAAGGAGCGGGTTGTGAAAAATATATGAATCGATCGGCAGATGACATGGTATTAGAGGTAGCCTCGAAATCGTGTTGTTCGACGAAATAAAAAAAAAACCCGATATTCTAACTAGTAGGTTTTCGCCCGTTTTTCATTCTCCTAAATATGAATGAAGAAATACATTACTAGTGACATTAAAGTATTTAAACTGAAGTAATCAGTATTCAAATGAAATAGTTAAATACAAAGTATTAAATTCCATTTCACTAGTAGTACATGGCAAACTACACAACCTAGAGAAAGGACGAGTGTAGAAAGGCTCTCTCTTTTGGTTTCGACACTATCGAGGTCAACTGGTCGATAGACGATGAAAATCGCCGTTCATAGGGATCTGGGCCGTCGCCCACCACGGCGGATATTCGTGGGTGGTTGTTGACATCACCTGGGCTCCAAGTGGCTGGCAGCGACACCTGTTCGGCACCGTTCTTAACTTTTGCTGGTGAAAACAACTCAACGTTTTTGACGATGACAATGGATTAGAAATAAAGAACGCCTGGCAATGGTCAGAGGAAGGAAACGCATGTTGTTTTTAGAAAGTTCTAATTTTTCAATAAAATGAACTAGCCGAGAGACAAGCGAAACGAAGGATCCGCATGGTGTAGTGGTGAACGCGTTAGCCCCTGGAAAGGGTAATAGCGCGTTGGTTCGTTCTCTCGCAGACACCTGCGGCCCGGTGTTTTGCAAATATCTCAGCACCATTGTGGTTGTATTTCGCATAATACCCTACCATGAAAATTTGCAGAGAGCGGCAAATAAAAAGTTAACATTTAACGACGAGTATTTTGGTAGAAGGTCATGTCAACTTCACTAAGTCATGAAATGGTGTGCTTTTGTTTGCATAGAAGATTTTCACCCTTTTCATACCGTTTTCTTTTCAGGGTGTTCCCAGTTTACGAGCAGTATGGGACAACTAAACACTAAGATGCGAGTAAACGTCGAACAGGTACTGGAGTAATTCCGCTATTGTAGTGAGTGCTCGTCACAGTGAATTAGCACTAAACGATTTGTTGTCAGAAATCTACACTACATTTATACTTATTGATTAAATAACATTCCATTAAAAACCTCTTGGTGACATCGAAATCAACCATGAATAACAATTTAATTCTCGTTCCATTTGTCTACAACGTGAACTGGATTTTTCGTTTCTCTGTTGATAAGATACTTTTCATTCAGAACACTCGTGAGTGCAAATTCAGTAATGACATTGAACGGAATACGTGAATGAAGAGATGGAGAGAAAAGGAGGAAAGCGAACAGACGACAGAAAGACACAATGGAAGAAGAAATAAAGTGAGAAGTTCAATGAGTGACACTGTAAATGGGAAATTACACTTCCGTTACACAATCTAAACAACATCCTAGAAAAGAAACCTCCATAATTCAACGAAATACGATAATAAACCGCTATCAGTGAGTAAGATACGGATCGATTAAAACCGCGAAGTGATCGGTAACAAGCACACGCGTGGAATCATTTTCAATTCAGAACAGTTGAAAAGGATGACGAGGAAAAGAAGAGAAGTGTTTGGAATTCAAGTGCTATGCAAGAAATTCTCGGACGAGAACTTTTATAAGAAAACTAGGTACTTTAAAATACTGAATGACTCCATGAGAACTATTGGTAAAACAGGACTAAGAATATAAGTAAGGTTTGACGGAAACTTTCCCCATTATTCACTATGCAATCTATGAAACTATGCAGCTTCAACATCTACTGACCACTTCATATCTGAGCGCTAAATATTCGACTACTTATGAAATCAATCGAACTGCAAGGCTAAGATAGAAGGTGGTGCAGGACATGAGATGAAGAAACTCGTACGTGAGTAGATCAGGAATACAAGAAGTGGTAGAAGAAATCGATTCATTGGATGAAACACGATTCTAAGTGAGTTATCGGATCTTTTGTAAAAATAAGATGTGAAGAAAAATGTCTATGAAGGACTGGTTTAGTAGTCACGAATAACGAGATGAATGGCGGACATGCATGGTCTCTTACGCGGATAACTCTCCCAACACGACGCCATGATGTTCGCTACCACCTTCGGACAATCCTGCAACGAGTTCTTAATACTAAGAAACCGGTTTCCAACTAAGCAAACGCTCCTATTGTCAGCAAATTCTGACAAATCCGAGCAACAACTTCAAAAAATATGTCAAAAACTCTGAACATTTTCTTTGGGATTGAATTCTAATCGAGAAAAAGCTAATGCTTGCTTGGTGAGTAGGCACAATTTATTTAACACTAGTCAAAGTGTGGGCGAATTTTCAATTTTTTAGACCATGGAAAGATAAAGGAAGGAAAGAAGAGGAAAGCCAAACTGACAAGTAATCGACTCATGCAAATACTTCCATAACCACGACAGAAACCCCAAACCTGAATTCCACACGCATGGAGAACAGGTTTCTAAACACCTCCACTTTTTTGTCTGCCTTTTACATAATGAGGGAGATCAGCCGTGCAGAGACTACACGGGTGACGAATGTGCCTGTCTCGGCTGACAGGAGACGCTTCTATCGTACACTTTGTAAGAGATCGAGTACACCGTACCCGAACACGTATAGTCACAGTTCGTATGAGATCGGACACACCACACCCGAACCCATGTTGTCACCATTCGTAAGGGACTGGGTACACCGCACCCTAACTCATGCAATCGCCGTCCCGTCACTGCACTGCCGTTAGGGCACATTGTGTGTTTTGTGTTATTCGTAGGCGCTCATATAAGCAATTTCATGCTAATTACGACACAGACGTTTCAGTGGTAGTTCATTGACTCCAGTGAATTTCTCTATATGGCATTTTTCAGGTTTTGAAAGTCTGACGATGAGTCTAGCCTTGACCGATAATGAATTGGAAAATTCAAGAACATCACGTCGGCAACAGAACATCAGTCATACGCATCGTTACCTTAAAAATAGGTTTGGTTGATGAAAAACCTTAAGCTAACTCTGACAGTAAGAGTGTACCATGTATTACACAAAATTACACGATTTACCCTAAGGGGAGAGTCGTTGATAGGGGGATAGGGGGGGGGGGGTGGTCTCTTGTAAAATATGTGAGAAAAAGCATCTCACGTAACCTGAGACAGGTAAAATCTTCACGATTTAAGCTCTGTGTAGCTGGTCCGCCTGGCCGTGGGACAAAGGCTAACAATAAAGTTTCTGGGTTGATCAATCACTTGAGGATGCATCATGCATTTGACTTCATTAATTTCGTAATGGTTGAATGCATATATGGCCTACAGAATAACTTGTGCTGTACGGAATTAGTGCTGCTATCTCCAAAAACCAGTCTGCTACCAATTTGCCGACCCCAAAGGGATCATTGGCTTGGTGAGTGTAAAGCGAAGTATTGAACCCTTTATTGATCCAGTGTGTATTGTAAGGCCTTTGGCCACTGCGCTATACGCGACCTCAATAGGTGTAAATTATACAAAAAACGATACTAAAAAACCGTTTATCATGTGATTGAAACCTAGGTTTTTTTTTTAGGTTTCGATGTTCTTTTATTAGGATTACGAAAGTGTTTGGCTGAGCAGATTACGTTCTGATTTGATCTTTCAAGGCCTTGAGGAAAGCGAGATCCGTCAAAACGTTAGTCATTGTGGAATAAATGTTCTGATGGTAACTCTGTATCTGAGACTCTGTCTTATCATGAGAAGAGCGACGAACTGACGAATGCCGACGTCGGTCTTGGGGATTTCTAGCCATATGTATTTGCTCTAAACTTCCTCACTGAAACTAAAGGGTTACTAACAAACTTACTTCTCAGGCGGTTACTTCTCTCATTAATTGCTCTATCGCTTATTATATTACAATAACGAAACCACGCCACACTTTGGTAGCTTCAGTTTGCTATCGATAGGAGCAACTTCGGTAGGGTACTGTAGTGAAGAATATCTGCTGCTTATTATTACAGTCGGTTTCGAGATAGCTGGTGATAACCCCAGTTTGCGTTTCGCTATATTTGTATTTTCACTCACCTCCGGAATTATCATTCTGTAGTTATTTCGAAGAACCATTTCTTTCACAGCATTCGGTGTCAATTCTCCGTACGGTTCACTTCCGTCTGAATACACTTCCCACATTAAGACCCCTAAAGAAAAACTAAAACACGTTCGCTATGAATGAATTTTCATTTGATGTCCGAAGAATGAAGAAATTATCCTACCAAATGACCAAATATCCGATTTCAGACTGTAATCACGATTTTTCAGTACTTCAGGTGCTTGCCATTTAACAGCAATCGCTCTGTTTGAAGAGTCATGCATTTCACGAATCGGTTCACACAAAGAGAAACCAGATATCTTAACTACCTAAACGTGGTCCGATCGATATTGAGAAATATATAGCTCTAGGTAAAAATGATGCGCATGGAAACCGCAGCAATCAAATCCTCGCTGATAACAAGTGCGTTTGTTGTTCTCCAACCGAGTACATTGCGTGCATTAACATGGTCAAATAGACAGATGGACGATTTGATTGACTGAGTGCTGAAGTTTCCCTAACATTTCCTTTGGAAATCAATTTTTGACATATGCACGACCAAACGTAACTTTTTGTGGCGATCGTGCACAATGTGCATCGAGGAACACAACCGGAAAACGATTTTTGTAAATTATTAAATGTAGAGAACAGCTACTCATGGGCTAGATCTGGCACACGAATCCTGTGCTTGATAAGCTCTCGACTGAGTATAGAAATTGCAGCAAATAGACGCCTTGCAATAAAGTAAGCAATGAGGAGTGAACACTGAAGTCAATGGACACGAGATACTATTCCCATCCATGTGCGCATTGAAACCAATTCGTATGGTGACTTATTTGTTAAAATTATCGGTTTGTGCGAAAGATCTACCAGCGCATCGTTGAGCATGCAGTTACGTGCAGCGATGTCCCGATGAATACATCCCGATTCGGCAAGGTAGGCAAGACCGGCCGCTGCCTCGCAAACGAGACGTCGCTTCTCCGTCCCTGAAGTGCATCCGCGATTTCGTTTCAGATACGTCAACAGCGATGCTGAAATATTCGTCAATGTGAGAAGCACTAAACTCCAAATGAAAGCGAACTTATTTAACAAATGGCAACTGATAAGAAGTTCCAGAGAAAGCACCGTAGTCGAGTTGTAGAAGAACACTTACTTCGAGAGAATTCGAGGACGAGAATAATCGGATTGTAGTGTAATGCAACGCCGTAGATTTGTCCAACGTTCTCATGATGCAGCGAACGCAACAGTCGTGCTTCCTTCATGAAATGTCTGAGAGCTTTACGATCGCACTGAAATCGTCTGTAAAGCTGACACTAACGAGATTGTAGAAGAGGGGAACATCATGCACAATAGGTGTTCGTTAACTAGCTACAGCAACTTTTTCTCCATTGGTGAGTAGAAGTTATGTTGTCAGAAGTATTACTTTTCTTCCTCATTCAAATCACAGATTTGCTGTAATAACCTGACAGTCTAAATTCAACACCGGTCAATATACATTTTTTAAAATTCTACAGGGCCAGATACCACAAGCTGTGCAGATCCCAACACTTGATTCATCTCTTTAGATTCATATTCCACGATGGTTTACGGTTTCTGCATATGTGTTTGGTTAATTATTGAGGATTTTTAATCTTGGAACTATCGTTGAATGCTGCTCAAGTCGATTCTTCATACAATGTCGTGATGGGCGTCATAGTGCATTGCAAGACCTTCATCACGGGTCGTAAGTTTTTGTAAACTGAAGAGAGCTGGTTGATTCCAGTGAAGACCGGTACCTACTTCCCTATTCCGTTGAGATGAGGACTTGGTTGGTCCAATGCCGAATAGAATAAGGGCCGTGTGTTTATTGAACTGCATCACTACGAATACATGCGTCTCAATACACATTTGAAATATACATATATGGATATAAAGATAGAAGTGGGATGCTGCAGTGGTTAGCAGCGCAGCCGATTAACAAACAAAGGCACTTGTTCGATACCCGTCCCAACGATCTCCTTCAATCCACGTGGGAACGCCCAACTTCATTAGGCTATCTCCAATATTGTAAGTAGAATTGAGTCGACCAGCATTCTATGACATTAACGAAGAAGACGAAATCCTCAAGCAGCTTCTGGAACTACACACGAAATGTTCGAAGACTTTAACCTTTTTATTTATTGTCTATTCTTTTTAATGGCAAGGTATATCGTGAAATATAACCTCAATGATGCTAGGATATTTGCAAAACTGCGGACCACAAGTGTCTGCTGTGGGGAACGAACGCGCTGTTACCCTTTCCGGGGTCTAACGCGTTCACCACCACACCACGCAGGTCCTCCATTTCGCATGCCTCTCAGCTAGTTCTATCGATCACTGTCATCAGCAACCAACCGTCAGTGGGATTGATCTGGAGATCTGGGAACTGGGGTTCATTGCGGATTTGGGCTCCACAGATCAATACCGCGGACGGGTGATTGCTGATAGCAGTGAACGATAGAACTAACTGAGAGACAGGCGAAACGAAGGACCTGCATGGTGTGGTGGCGAACGCGTTAGCTCCCGGAAAAGGTAATAGCGCGTTCGTTCCCCACAGCAGACACTTGTGGTCAGCAGTTTTGCAAATATCCTAGCATCATTGTGACTTTGTGGACGGCGAATGTGAGTGAAACGAATCGAACACAAAAAGTGCTGGGATTGGCTCAATAAATGTGATAACGAGTCATGGAAAAAATAAAAGTATTAAGGTGTCCATTATGGAATGACTGATTTGAAAGAAAAGTATAAAACGCTACGGCATTTCCTCTTCAAAATCACGCCTCACCAATTAATTTTAGAACCACAACAACCATTACACTTACATGCAAGGATCCTAGATATTTCACGTATATGTAAAACGTTAGATCACCATTTTCACCATATCTTGATTGCTTGAGTGTTTTTTCACGGACGAATTTCCCAAGATGTTCCAAAAAGTAGTAGTCCGTTCCTAATAGGTCTCACATCTAGCCATTCCTTATTACCTTTGAAGCATTGAGAAGATCATTGTTGTGCAGCGGAATCAGCCCTTCTTTCTTGAGCAATCAGAGGTGTTTTACGAGGTACAAGACTTCTAACTGTTCCGATCCACAGCAATGCTTTTCTGACACCTTCACACCCTCACTCAATTTGAGGAGAATGTTTGGAGTCGTCGAATCTCCTACATTATTATCGGTTTTCTAGCAAACTAATAGTTCAATCGTGAAAATTGGCAGCGAGTTTCACATTTCTTGCTGTAATAATCTTTCTTTGCTAATGAGATCGTGTTGAATATCTTTCGATATCACATCGCAAACACATCTTAGTCTATCCACTTCGATCAGTCTCTTCGGTTCCTCGGTGTCAACGATATTCTTCGGGCGTCCACCGCCCTCCTTTAATTGCGAGACATTCATTTTCACAGCTGAACTTGTGGAAATAGCAACGAATGATTCGTTGGCTAACGGAGCTCTTGTGGCACTGATGTCCTAACTATTGCGGCGGCATTTCTCTTCTACTCATACAAAAAACACGAATGATCCATTGATGCCAAGCCGATAAAAGTGCACTTGAAGGAACTGAGACTAATTAAGCCAACACAGGTTAAATTGCTTGGTGTTGATCAATTCTTCGCTGATAAGCCGTACATCAGACTCCAGTGCTAGCATCGTGGAGGTGATTGATATCTGGCCTATACGATGACTTCCGACAGCTTCTCGAGCAAATCAATATTTTCACCTTCCAATAGAAAGTCGGTTCCAACCTGTCAACTCTCGAGTGATGGTGACTTAGTTAGCCCCGGACCATGATCGAATCAAAAACTACGTGTATGTTAGGTGGCACCCACCGACGCTACTCTCGCGATACAGTAAAAGCAAGAGTAAACTATGAACTTTGGTGTCCTTTGTTAGAAAAGTAAAGTTGTTTTTTTTAAGTTTTTTTTTAAAGTTTTTTTAAAGTTGTTTTGACCAACAGACATTAATAAAAAGATTAGAGACTTTTTTATTTTTCAACTAATCCCTCAAGCGTCTCTTTCTCCCTCTCTCTCTCTCTCTCCCTTTCTCTCTAGCTCCCTCCAAAGAACGATGAGAATTATAGAAAACCATTGAGCTCACTGAAATCCCGATCGTCTTCAGGAACACCGGTCGAGGAACGCCATTGTGCACGAATTCGCCGACAAATTCTTCAACGCAGTGGTGTATTCCAAGACTCTGAAAAACAGCAGACTGTATGCATTGGACTGACAAAATGAAGAAGAAAGCGCTTCAGTGGAAAGTCGGTCTTCTGGAACAGTGCGGTGTTTGTGTTCATATTGTTGGCGTTAGGTGTTTGAGCACTACTACAACTAAAACACAGAATGTTCAGGTTCATCGTGGCCACTAAAGATCTTAGACTCGTAAAAATCGGAAAGCCGTCTCCACAATTAGAAAACGTCCATCTCGATTGGTCTTTATTGCCCAATGTGTTCTCTGTAAAACTTCTTCTTACAGATGACTTCTTTTTTCCTTGCCTTTATGAGCTTTTTGAATATTGTCTTTTTCACTGTATACGAATCCAGATAGCTGGTTCCACTTCTTATCAAAGAATAAATTACCATAAAGAAATGTGTTATGAAGAATTATCTGGAAGAGCCGGCTTCCATTCTCTTCTCATTACATTATTCCAAACGTGTCCGCGTTCCGCTTCAGTGGATCTTTCTATTTCAGCGTAAAAAACCTTCGATAGCATACTAGTTCACGGACTTTTCAGCAGGAACCAACCATCACAAACTGACTGCAGAACAAGTCCTATTCATTTTCATTGGATGCTCATGTTTGGAGCCGATGATGATGAGGATGGAGACGGACACTGACCAGATGACGTGACAGGATATCGTGTAGATCGACGTAGTAGGGAAAGGAAGCGTGTACTAGTAAGCACACAGCTTTGTTGTCGTTCCTGTTCCTGTTTGCCTTTAAGACAAGCAAGTGCAATTTTATGTCAGCTACGAGTTTTAAGAGAGTGCCAAAACTGTGAGTACAGTCTTAACCTTTTATTTACTGCCTATTCTTTTGAAGGCAGGGTATTTTGCGAAATATAACTATTATAATACCGATATTTGCAAAACTCCGGACCGCAGGTGTCCGCGGTGGGGAACGAACGCGCTATTGTCCTTTCCGGGAAGTAATCTGCGGTCCGGAGTTTTGCAAATATCTCAGCGTTATAATGTGAGTACGTGTTACAGGTGAAGAGGTGGAGAGCTTAAGCCAATCTTTATAGTGTGTTCTAGACATGGCTCTAGTTCCGATGCCAGTGATATCCATCAGAGAGATTTTGCACCTCTCAGCGATTATCACAGAATCTGACGGTGTGACATGTGCATCGTGCTTCCATCCTTCATCTTGATAAGTAACTGCTAATCCTTACCGATGTTAGTGACAGAAAAACCTTCCGATTAGATCCATAAATATATGACGATGGTCTTTGCGATAGGTTTACGCTAGTGGAGAAGTAAAGCTCTCTATCAACGTGTTATCACAGCAACTGAGAGTAATGGGCGCCCTTCTTCCTTTCCCGTTTTTCCTTGCTCTTAGCCAAGCACCGACAGTAACTGACCTCTTTGAATACGATGTCGTCATGGTTCAGCATCCATTCTTGTCGAGGTATTGGTCGTTTCAATATTGCTTGTGATGTCCTCGATAATGGCTCTCCATTAATTCTGTAATTTTCTCTACAGAAGAAATACATTAAAGCCGACAAATCTCTCTATACTAACTGCGTATTTATAGCACTGAGGTATACCAGACAATTTCATTACTATTTTTTATTTACTGCCTTTTACAAGTTTTCACAGTAGGGTATTATTTGTGAAACAACTACAATGATGCAGCTATTTGCAAAACTCCGGGCCGCAGGTGTCTGCGGTGGGAAACGAACGCGCTATTACCCTTTTGAGCGGCTAACGCGTTCATCACCACACCATGCGGGTCCTTCGTTTCGCCTCTCTCAGCTAGTTCTATTGATCACTGCCATCAGCAATCACCCGTCAACGGGGCTGATCTAGGGAGCCTAAATCATTGTAGTTGTTTCACAAATTACTTGGTACTTGATACTTAAACGGCCCGTCACTATTGGTTATGCGGACCCCAACATAATCACCATTTTTCGGAGATTTGCTGGTTAAGCTACTGCTGTACCCTGGAATCCCGAGGGCAGCCTGGCCAAAGTCTAGGAATCCTAGTTTGATACTAGGACGGCGGTGGATCCTGCTATTGCTTTGCCCTTAACTGGACTTCCTGATGGAAAGGCCAAACTCCTTCTCATCTTGTGGGAGATCCTTCAAAGGAATGAATCCCACCGCTGTGCATCACAACCCGCTACCAAGAGCAGCTCTCAGCGACGATGAAGCGGTAAACCGTTGGGAGAAGAACGACATACTACTGACTTATTATAGAAGTAAGGAACAAGAAAATCCATATTGTGATCGACCACTGTCAACTTTTTTCTTCGTCTCGCTTTCAAAACTCTTTGTAAGCATTAGTGTGATCGAAAACTGTAAATTATCCACATTAAAAAAAACAGTTTACGACTGCTTTGAAAAGTCTATTAGATTGAAGTCCATAGAAGCGATTCGTTCAGACTTAACATGAGCCTATGTACCTTCTATTTTGCTTAAAATAAGCCACATACAGATGTTTCTGAATTAAATCCTGAATGGTTTTCGCTCGAACGCTCTCAATATAGAATTCACCGTCATCGGAATGATTAACCATAAAGTGCTTGATAACGTCACCACAGCGAACAGACAGCGCCACGACAAGAATCCCTGCATATTCATACAATGAAAGATCGTGGATTAGCGATGGATCACATATGCCAGGTATTTTCCAATCTCGTTAATCAACAGGGGACTCCACTGAGCACAGTAAGATCACCATTCGTTCCTGTTGCGTACTCCAGTGGACATATGGGATCCGCTCTCATGAAGTACACGAATAGCACATATGGGATCCGCTCTCATGAAGTACACGAATAGCATGTTTTTTTGTATAATGCACTTTGTTTTTTGAATGAAGATTAATTGTCATGTTACACGGCCCTTTTCCAGATGAGGGGATAGGCGTGGTTAAATGCGGCGGAATAAATGCGACCACGCACTTTCGATGAAGCGCAGACTCAGGCGACCAGGTTTCTTTCTTCGTCGCTTCCGATCGGCACATACTTCTGTGTGTACGCATATGTACGTATACACATTTCTATACGCATGCCTAGGTTGGTTTACGTATAAGCAAGATGTATTCCGTCCCTTGATTCGACCAAATTTCTAAGCGTCGATGACTGGGAAGGGGTATAAAAGGTAGTGAGGAGTTTCCTTCAATGATTATTCTTCACATCCATTTCCAGAAAGTCGACTAAACTAGCCATGTTTATACCCCTACCTCCGCGGTAAAGCCCTGTGTTTCGCTCTTCGTGTCCCTCAAGAGAGCAATTCTCATTGAAAACCTCATTATTGACGCCATGGAAGAGTGTTTCATGCTGATGAACGCTTTTTAAGTGAATACATAAACTGATAATTTCCTACTATTCTACTCATTTTTTGATTCTAATCGTTTACTTACCATCTTCTAGCTGTTCTTTTCTTAATAGAAAGTCTCCGTCTTTCTCAAGCAGTGTAGAAACATCACATCTGAAAGGTGGAGGAAATTCTATACCACGTTTTGGTAACCTGAATAGCAATACTCACGCCGAAATCAGTCCGTGATAATACGAAAAACCTTGCGAAATTGTATAGTCAACGAGATGCTGAATGATACACTTCGAGAGTACAACCTATTGAGCAATTCATCATACCTGGTCAGTCAGCTGCCCTACAACGTCGATATCGGACGCTTCCACTTGCATTGCACTCGGACAAATCACGCTTGCAGAGCTCGATCTCTGGAACAGTAAATCCGCTAACTTACCGCATTCGTTCCAGAACATGAAACATACTTATGGCCAAATCACAGACCGAAGCCACCAATACGCCCCTGATATCAGTGCAGAACAAAGCACACCGTGCCTTATATATGTATGATCTTCGATAACATCCTTATCAGGTATGTTTATGTCAATCTCCACGCTTATCATATCATTGTGGTGATCGGGTAATTCTGTGTGAGGGATTAAAGTGTCGAGCTTGAGTCTTGTCCTTTCTTCGAAGACGCGAGAGGAACGAAGAGTATTTCCCTGCACAAGCACCTCCAACAGAAGTAGAAGCTGGCAATCTAGTGTCGAATTATAATGAACCTAGCGATATAGAACCAAAAGAACAGGTCTATAAACCAATATTTGGAGTGCTCTGTGCCGTATCCCTATAAAACTAGAACGGCGCTCTCAAACGTAAGTTATAGGTTATATTAAATTTCGTGCTATCGAACCAGGAGAAATCACAGGCAAAACAACCGGTATAAATCAAAATATTGACGAGTTCTTTATTGTCTTTGCAGAAAATATCGCGTGTGCTAGATGTGAAGAGCAAAGGCGTCTGTCTTTTCGTACGTTCATCCGTTATTTATCACATCTACCCAATTGAGATCCTCTTATTTTGCTTTGTAATCGCCCAACTCTATTTTTATCATTAGAAAAAGATTAGATCAGCAGTATTCTCTCGAAGACGCCTAGTTTCGCATTTTTGCAGAGTGGACGACGGCTCAGTTTTCTCCTCGCCCACCGTGACACCTATAGGTGTCACACGTGCCATTCGGCAGCTCTTGTGTAACCCCACTTTTTATTGTAGTTTCCGTTCTATAAATTGGAGTTTTCTTTGTACTTCGAAAAGTTTTCTGCGCTTTCTCATCATGTGCATGCTCCAAGTGTTACATACTCACCCCTATTATTAAAAGAACATCTTCCCTTGAGTGACGCCCACCAAAACTTCTGAGTTGAATAAGCTAACGATTGATTACAAGAGGTCTAGGAAAACAGTTCGCCAGAAAACAGTTCTTTGTGTTAAAATAAACCACTGGAAAGAAAATGAAGCTCACAGGCGTCATAGCGGCACTCTGGAAATTTTATTATTACACCTATAGAAGACACTCGCCATGAGAGTGTTAACTACAACATACCAATGTGATTTATGACACCAATATGATTTATTCCTAGACTACCTCGATAAACATTTGTAGTTTATAATGAAAAGCACTTTACTAGATTTTTTTCAAAGACTCCAACGCGAAAATGCTAGACGATATTAAAATGGGTACAGTATTACGAAGTTTGAGACAGCGAAATGAAGCCATAACTGAGTCTCTAAACATTGGAATCGCTCCATAGCAAGGCTAACTAGAAGAAGAACCATATTCGTGTTGATGGAAGATGGGGCTTGCTTTACAGCTCTATGATGTCAATGAATCTGATTTCCCTGTTCTTCATAGAGTTGATTCGACGATAGGTACTCTAAGTGAATAGGCATTGCTTCACAGGGAAAAGGACAGAAGCCGGCAATACGATAATGTCTTAAATGAAATCATTCCTTCTAAATGAGTAGTATATCAAAGAGAAGCTAGGAAGGAAAGGATACAAGTTGCCTATTGGCATCTCACTTGATAACAATACTTTTAGAAGCAGAGACATGAACAGCAGTGAAAAAGTCGCGTACGATCGACCTACCCAGATACTCTGTCAAGGGTATCTTCTCGAGAACATCTGATACTGTTGTTGAGTTTGCGCGTATTCATCAAACCGCCTGATATATCTCATATAATGAAGATTTGCGGGAGATGTGGTGGGGTGGTTAGAAGTGCTCTGCAGCACACATGGATTGGTCCTAGGCTCCAGAACCATCAAGCCTTCCATCCCTCTGTAAACGGCACATTGTTACCAGACCTGTCTAGGAGGAATAGCAGCATGATACGATAAATCAGTAGGCCACTGCGAGTCACTGTATAGAAGAAACGAGCTCTGTCACCTCTAATGATGGTTTATGAAGTCAAATACATAGGCAGCCCCTCACGGAATGATAAACGCCAGGAGCTTTATCCTTTTTGAATGGAGATTCATGACATTAGCAGTAACAATGACAGTAAAAGAAAAGTAATGGTAAGCATTTCTTCGGTCGCTTGTAACCCATTGGTCTTTTGGAGACGTGACGTAAATAAGCCTTTCATTTGCCGGTTCGCGTTATTAGCTCAGCTCAGTCCGAGAACACAATGAGCACAACGTTTTCCGTATAAATATATTGTTTATACTTACTGTTTTAAGATGCAAGACATTCATATCCGGTCCATTGGTTTTCCTTGTAGTGCTGGATATTCTCACGTCTAGATCTCATTCCGTAGATATTCAATGAGATGTATGAATTGGAACATGAAATTCATTTCACAGACACGATTACCTGCGAAGGGGATTAGACTAAACTTCAAGACACTGCTTAATTAATCACGAAAGGAATCAACATAGTAAGGCCGGCATTAGAAAGAGATAAGTTTTAGACACTTTAACCATAAGCAGAGTGCTCGAGCGATGTCTTCCGAAATTTATCCGGCACTCACAACGTCTAATTGAAACGCGCAGTTCCGGTATTCAAAACTTACCCAATTTTCAGGATTAAGAAAATACATATCGATAGCGAAGCACAGATGTGCCAGTCACACAGTAAAAAGAACAGATGAAAGATGGACAAAAAGAACAGTGGAGTGGACTCCGAGAGAATGCAGGCGTCTTCTTAAAAGACCACCCAGACGACGAGAGGACGTGTTCGTGGCTGACGTCACCAAATGCAAATGGGAACTTTTTTTTAGGAATTCGGAATGAGCCAGGCGGACATCATCATATCCGAAGCAAACCACCACCATAGACGAGGACTGCGTAAGACAAAATCCAGTGGAAACTGTGCTGGGATCCACACTACCAATGAAGACGGGCCATCCAATTATCAAGTCACTACGCAATTTCGAGTTTGAAGGTTCCTACCTCTGTCACTTGCTTAGCATCTCATTTTATTCATTGCAGTGAAACTGAGTGCAGCCCATTCGACGTTCGCTGGGAAGAATTTACTCTTCTCGATCATCATTCATATTTGAGATGTATGACCAATTTCGGGGACATTCTTTTGCATTAATCAACCAGAGATAAAGAACCACCACTATAATACTACTAGAGAGATATACTGTAAAAACGTTGTGGGTACGCAGATAAGCCACAGTGAACGGAAGATTTCCGATAACTCTCTCCAATTTTCTCCCCTTTTTCTTGTGTACGCAAGAGGTTGTGTCAACTTTACTTTGTCACACGCCAGCACGTAGAAACGCGTACAACCACTCATAAATAGAACAACTTTACCATGAAATACAGTACCCTCTTACGATTTAAACACCGCATAGCAGTGAAGGGCGCTTGTGGCGCAGTGGTCGAAATTGACCCATAACACACATGTGGGATCGAACCCCACGCACATGGCCCACCAAGCCATCCACTCCTCTGGAGTCAGCAAATTGGTACCAGACTTGTCTTTGATAGCAGCACTGGCTCGATACATCGGTAGGCCACCGCGAGTCATTGTAAAGGCAAGATATACATTCAGTCCCCTCTAGACGATGGTTAATAAAGTCGAATGCACGGCGCATCCCTCAGGTATTGATCAACGCCGACAGCTTTATACTTTATCCTTTATAGCAGTGAAATATGAAATAAACAACACAAATTTAAGATCATATAATTGTGAACCTAAGCCAAATCCAACAGAAATTTAAACACTATTCTGAAAACAAGTGACGTTTAGACTTTCTTCAATCACATGTTAAGAACGATTACAAAAATGACAAATTTACATATATGAAGTGATTAGAGAGGCATAAACGGAGATAAGCACATGTGTATGCTAGTGAGGCGGAACGTCAACAATGAACAGGCGATGATATGAGAGGAGTATCCACTCGAAGTATTTCAGAAGAACAACATTTTCATTGTAGTTTTATAGCTCTTCTGAGCGAACTCGGACAGAGAGAACAGAAATGACAACCTTACCGATCAGAAACGAACAACAACAGCAGTGATTATCAGTGAACACGACGTAGTGAGAAACAACAGTACTGACACAGGAGTGAGTATCGAATCGCCAGATGAAATGTACGAATTTGAGCTCTATAAAATATCATAAATCACTAATGAGAACAAGAATAAACTATCACTGACGGGGCTTTGCTACCGACAACCAGACGGTAGACCGTTAGCAAGATTTTGAGCCTCATCGCGGGAATAGTCGATAAATGCCTGAAGGTTTTTTTTCTTAAAGAAAAAGACGAAACAGAAAATTTTGATAAAAATTTAGACCTCAGCAGAACAAAAAAACAATGTTAAATCATAATCATCAACATGCATGTTTCGTGCACTTTCCTACTTTAGTCGTATGAAGTACACCAGAGCTTCTCACCTGAGCTCTTTCCTCAAAACACAGTCAAAATCAATACGTTGGCATCTCTCTGGCCTAGTAGCACTACCTTACAAACAATTCCTAAAGCTTTAACCAAAAGACTTAATCAGTTTTTCCTACAAACATGAGGAAATAATTGGCTATTCTTCACTAGTCACAGCGCCACTATTGTCGATCACCGTCAAATGAACAGACAGTGAGTGTCGTATGTATTTATTTAGACTTGCCTCTACAAAACTCTTCAGACGTACCCGCGAGATTTCTCTGAGCTCTTCGCTATCTTCGCATTGTTTTTTAACATGTCGTCGACGATGTATAGGTGTGGAGACGATGATCCGTTCTTCCAGCTCATACATCGGATCGCAATTCAATCCCTCTTTGCAAGGCACAAACACTGGTGCAGCACGTCTATCAAAACAACTGAATTCAACACAGAATTTGTTCATCTACATATTTACTCAGCATCCTCAAGAAAACATATCCAAAACGAGCATCTCGTCAAATCTAACCGTTTCTTGATTTTCTAAGTACGAATTTTATATCCGGAGAGTTTTGCGTTGAAATCAAGCAACGAATAGAAAATGAAATAGGAATTCCCAATGTTAATTTCTTATTTTCTGCCTACTACAATTTTTTATGACAAGGTACTCTGCCCAATACAACCACAATGGTGCTAAAATACTTGCAAAAATCCGGACTGCAGATTGTCTGTGGTGAGGACTGAACATGTTATTACCCGTTTCGGGGGCTAACGCGTTCACTACCACACCATGAGGGTCCTTCGTTCTGTCTGTCTCTCATCTAGTTTTAGGCAATAGCGCGTTCGTTCCCCACCGCGGACACCTGCCTTCCAGAATTTTGCATATATCTCAGAGTCATTGTGGTTGAAATGAGAAAATTCATCTAGAATTAAGCAACTATTCCCTTCGTAAAATTTGAAAACCACTTATGACATAGCGATACCCATCTTCAATAAAGATCCGGTAGTAAAGAAACATCTAGGTTTCCTTTGCAATAACCTTATCTAATCTTATCAATTAAATCGAAGAATAAATTATGTATGATACTGACTCAGAACTCCACAGTAAACTCGTCATTTTTTACACCTTTGGTTTTCGCTCAGTTACCATCTTACAGCTATTCTTTGATGAATGATCAGAGTTTTTTCTTCAAGGCTATGCAACCCGATGAGATATTTGGAAGCTTGTAAATAGGTTTCTTCCAGAGTAATGACAACCACAAAGTAACAGGTTTGCTCTCGGGTGAGGTTCTGAATGAAAATGTCAGACCCTTCAACTTCTGATCAGTTGATGTGGAATGAAGACAAATCCGTTGGAATATCGCACTTTTCGACAACAACACTCCTGCCATTATGCGACTATAAATTAATGGTTGCCGTTATTGGATGGATCTCGTTAGATGCTTTGTAACAGGCACAAATAACTTTGGCAATGGATAGAAAGATGCCGTTATAATGTTTCTGGTTACAACAACGAATCATTCAAACTAATAGGAAACTGTGAATTCCATCTCATCTTTTGTTGCTTAAACATCACCGTTCTGCTTAATGCCTCACTGCATAAAATGATGCCTTAAGAACCGCAAAAATCCACCTTTCTAATGTTTCTGTTGTCACTGCTCGATTCTACACTTCTTCATATTGAATATTCCACAATAAATTTCCGAAGAAAAAAGAACATACAAGGAAATTCAATCAATTAGTAACCCAGGAAATTATTTCAATGAATATAGAAGAACCAGAAACCTGGCTAACACAGTGGAGAAGTCGATTCGAGCCATATATGGATGTCGTTTCAGAGCAGCCAGCGAGTCGATTCGACTTTCAGGTGATGGAGAGAGCAACAGACGCAAAAAGCTGAGTAGGTCGTTCGGCCAGTGCGCCGGAAATGGTATATAGCTCTCACGGATCAGTAGCAGCACCTAAAAATTCTAATGGTGAATAAGTTGAAAATCTTCGATGTTTCTCCATTATTTGACCACATATGTAATATGAATGCATAACGACTGGCCAAGTCTCTCAGCAGCTTCTTTGGTGCTAATGAGAAAAAAACAGATTCTATGGAAAAAAAAATAGTTTAGAAATACCTGTTCAGGCTTAAAATGAGGACCAAATTCGTATGGTGTTCGACCTCTCATCATTTCATAGAACGTGACACCTAACGACCACCAATCTACCTTGAAATCATAGCCACTGACTAGTCCCAAAGCGCATGCATAAATCTCTGGAGCCATATATGGGCGAGTACCTAAGATTAACAGCTCAGTCATGGAAACTACTAGATATAATCTATGGAGTAAAGCAAATTGGGATAAGGCAATCAAGAGAAATCCTACGAATAAATAAGCTTACCTGAGAATAAATATAAATAATTGGTTGTCTAAATCTCACAAAAAGTACTGGTCGATGTGAATACTTTCCTGATTATTGTCTTAGAATCTACTCTAAATTCTTAGAACGCATAAGCGCGGCAAATTTTTTAATGTAGTAAACAGGACGTACCTGAATATGAAGTGGCAAGTTCATTCGGTTCTAACTGAGTGGCCAAGTTGAGGTCCGTCAAGTGAGCATGACCTTAAAGAAGAATGACCAAAATAGCGATGAAAGAACGTAGACATTCCAAAATTATTTCTGCTGTGAATGCTGTCAAATTATCAGAAAAACCTCTTACAGCAGATAGGAAACAAATAGACTCCTCTTCTTCTGAGAAAAGTATTATGATTCTACTCATTGACTATTATGATACTAATGCATTTTCGTTTCTAGGTAGCTCGACTAGCTCTATTTCTTCTTATTATGTTACGCGGTAACTTATCGACCGTTTACTTCCTTGTTAAAAGCGCAATTCTTTCATAAACAAAAAATCTTTTCAAACACTGTCCAAAGCTTTTTTTCTTGCTTCTAGGATACAGTCAGATCCTTAACCAACCAATTGGCGGGAAATTCAGCAATTTGAAACTTCAGCAATAAAGATGTTAAAGATGTTATCCATTAACCTTGTTCATCGAGCAGAACGTTCTCCGGCTTGATATCGCGGTGCATGATTCCGTTCGCATGCAAATATTCAACCGCTAACGAAATCTCGCACATATACAGTTTTGACCTGAAACACTAACACTACACCTGACTTCGTGTGATGCTGCTTGGGGCTAAGCTGTAAGAAAACTTTACGTAAATTGATAAATGTACAGAATAGCTCTTCATAAATCACGGCTGGAAAGTGCTAGTAGGATAAGCTATCGAACGAATACAAAAAGTAGAGCAAATGAACTCTTTGCGATAAATGAACAGTCGAAAAGAATATGAATTGGAAACAAATAAAACGGTTCACTTTCCACATCAGCGCATGCACTGACCTCAACGCACACGGTCCACTCTGCTGGTCGACGCATGAAATGATGTCAATGCATACGATTACTTACTTATCAATTAAAATACAAAACACTTGATGATTCATCTACTGGGTGAACGTGAAAGTACGTGCTAAGTCAAGCCCATAAGTGGTTTGTGACGTAGGCTATTTAGTCATTTTTCTCCTCTAACCTGTCTTCCGCGAATTTTCCCTGCTGATTCAAATGAAATCTGAGATCGCCGCCAAGTAGAAGGTCCGTCACCATGTACATGTAGTCACGGTCCTGAAACGAAAGTGACTGATTCTTTATTACTACGACGATCTTAGTTTCACTAAAAAGAGATGATAAAAAACGAATACATTTCGGTTCTGGCTCTCTACAGACATTGACAAGGCAGCATTCTTTTCATGATGAAAGTTTCTATTTTTTAAAGCCGAGACTGCATGGATGTCCAAATTAATTTCTTGAATTTCAGTATGAATTGTTGACACTCCAATTTGAAAACATAGGAAGTGTCATTTGGATACAGAAAAAACCACATGGTGACCAAAAAAGGACATCTTTATCAACTTGTCACCTTCCTCGAAATACACGTTAATTAACTTCCATCATGAGCATACCTGAAAAGTGTACCAAAGATTGACGATGAACGGATGAGAGATTTTTCGAAGAAAACTAAGCTCACGAAGTACGTTGAAGGCGACACCCTAAATCACCAAGCATTCAACGCGGCAGACAACGTGCGGCGCTATTATATGGGCGGGGAAAGTTCGTCATGCCGCACGCTGTGTGATTGACCGACATGACGCAAATGCGACTCACCTTTTCAATGCACCTTCGTTTGCTCATATATTTAAGCGCGAAATATTTCTTTGTCGAACGTTGTTGCACAATACAAACCTACAATTTCATTAATAAACTGCTTCACTTCGGTGGCATTGCTTGTCACTCGTCATTTTTGTTTCCTCTCTTGGCATTTTGGCTTTTCGCAGTCTTTAAATACATTTTCATCCAACTCATAGAGGTATTTAGGTTATTAACATTTAGTAATCTTCCATCTTTATGGTAATGGTGCACTTCTACCCACATGTACTCAAACTCAACTATCTACATATACTCAACAATAAGGTGAACTGTAAGGTTAACTACGTATTAAAATGCACCAAGTTATTGAAAAAGGGAAAAATAATAAGTGGTTAGAGAGCCAAATGGGCGAGAGCTAAGAAGGGAAATGAATGAAAAGTAAATAAATGGTGAAATTATGTTCTACATCATGTCATAATTCATCCTGTTATTTGCATAGATACAGTGGAACCAAATGTAAAGCAAAACTAAGGGACAAAAATAAAGCCACGAAAGACGAATACTAAAAGAAAAGCAAGAGAATGAACCTTGCCGAACGCTCCTCTGCCAATACTGTGAATTATTGAGAAGTGTGATAATGACGGAGGTGATAAGTCGGTGGCCGGCCGCTGACCGCAGCACCAATTTCCCATACGCGAACTTCATAGAACGACCTCTGTAACGGATCACTCAGACCACCCATCCAAAAGAAGAAAACAGTGTAGGCGGTCCAACAGTAACAACAACAAGTTCTTGGTGAAAAATCGCAGCTCATACACAAGTGTCAGCGAAAAACAAGCAAACGACTATTATGTAGGAAGCAACAGAAAACTAGCTGAGAGATAGGCGGAACGGAGAACCTGCATGGTGTGGTGGTGAACGCGTTAGCCCCAGGAGAGAGTAATAGCGGGTTCGTTCTCTACCGCAGTCACCTGCGGTCCAGAGTTTTGCAAATATCTTAGCATCTTGTGGTTGTATCACATATAATAACGTGCCGTCAAAAATTGTAAGAGGCAGTAAATAAAAAAAATAACAATATAATCTTCTTTTAAGTCCATTTTCTCTAAAATGGAGAAGATCTTCAGGTTCGCCACTACTTCTTGCAGCCTTTAAAGACTACTGCTCCTTAGCACTGATAGAAAGAACAAACGCTGTAATCACTAATAACAAATCTGCAGTATGAAAACTTTTTCCCATAGAACGAATATAGACGCTAAAAAGAGTTAGAGATCTAAATTATGGACCTATTTGAAATTGCAATGATGCATAAACGAGGCAGAGCAGGAAATCATATAACCGATGAATGCCTGGGCGTTGATCAATCTCTGAAGGACGCGCTATACATTCGGCCTCCTCAAGCATCATTAGAGGTGACTAAATGCATATTTGGGCTATACAACTACTTGTGGTGGCGTACCGATAAATCGAGTCCGTGCTTTCCTCCAGGCAATTCTGGCAAAAATTGGTGACGATGGAGCGATGGAGGATCTTGCTAAGTCCACGACGTGGGATCGAACTAATGAACAACCCTGTGTGCATTGTAGAGCACCTTTAAGCATTGCAACATTACGCCACGAAATCAGATAAGAATGAATTGAATAAAGTTGTAGGTAACAATTCGTCGAAAACAACAATCAGAGTGCGGAACTGTGCATTTGGTAAACTGTTTTTACGAAGAAGCGGCATAAACAGAGGTAATCAAAAGAATACGGTGAAATGTCGGACTCAATCAAGCGCCGTCGTCTTTATACACCCAGCCAAATCGAGCTTGCGACCGTTGATTGAGGTCGTTGCTCGTGGGAACAAAGCACAACGACTCAATGACAGCAACACTGTAGCTCTGAGTTGTGGAAAAGTCAGTAGGAAGTTCGAAGTCAAGAATGGGTATTACGAAAAACAGAGAATGAGTGCATTCAGTGCAATCAATCACTAAAAGTTCGTAAATTACATGTGCAAAAGTGGCCAGAGAAAAGGTCAGAGGTCAGAATGGGCCAACGTTCACTCGGTTAAACCTCATCGTCGTCATCTTACCGGCTACAGTAGCTTGTTAAGCGTCCATCGAAGGCACCAATGGTCGCAAGAACACGGCAGCGCTCCCTTCGCTCCCATAACATGAATGACGTCGCTCGCTCAGCTGTTGAAGAAAAATCAACAGAAAAAGTTCGAGAGTAGAATATTCCAGAACGGAGGTAACTCATTTTAATATCAAATAACTAACCAAAATAGGATTAACCAATTCATTCATTTTGAACAAATTAAAAGAATTCTGACCCAAAAATAAATGGTCAGTAGGCTTTGAAATTACCTATTTTAAAAGCATATTTATTAGTTATTCTTAATAAGTGACATGCGAACGGTTTCCGCCTCTTCGTGGCTGGGAGGTGTTCCTGGGTGTCGGACTGCGATATGCAGCAGGGGGATTCATCTCCCCGGCATGGTCTCCCAAGCTGAGAAGGAGTCCTGCGTTTCCATTAGGAAACCCAGCTGAGAGTAAACCGATACCAGGATCCACCGCCGTCCGTATCAAACTAGAAGCATGGTTGCAAATTCCCCTCTCTGATTCACAAGGGCGGAGGCGTCTGTGGTTGTGACGACTTGGGGCAGACTTTGGCCTGGCTGACCTCGGGACTCCAGAGAACCACGATGGCTGAACCAACAAAACTCCGAAAAAGTGGAGATCATGCTGGGGCCTGCACAACCAGTGAGGACGGGCCATCCAAGTATCCAAGTAATTAACAAGTGCTAATTGAATAAATTCACGTGGCGTGAATATAAACGAACAAAGTAAACGCACAAAAACAATGAAAAAATCGGCTAAAACTACATCAACGATGGAAACGAGTCTATCGAGAAGTTAGTTGATACCGGGAAAGGTCTCAATAAGACACAGCACTTTCCGTAAACGGATTTTAACTTTAGATGTGCACGAATAAATACGATGATTTCAAGACTAACGCTAGATTTATCTCCTCAGTCCTAACTAAAGAGCAAATTTTAAGGTTTGCTCAGACGCAAAGCGAAGCAAACGTTTTGCAGTATGAACCACATATTTGCTCAGGGACTTAATAATGATCGTACGAATGCCAGATATTTCGTGTCATAAGAATAAGGCCTCCAAAATGACTTGCTGCAGATGGTGATGACCATTTGAAGAAGGGATTAGGGATTTCGGCGTTGATCAATTCCCTCGGAGATGTGTCACATGCACTCGACTCCATTAAGGATCATAAAAGGACTGAATGCATATATGGCCCACATAATGAGTTCTGAAGGGCAACCGATCTACAAGTGCGCGTTCTTCTCATCCCACACAAGTCTGATAGAAACCTAGTGGTCGCAGGGGAATGGAGGACTTGCGCTTTGCACTGGCAGTGCGATGAGATGGGACAGTTCCAGATATCACGAAATATAACTTCAATGATACTGAGATAGTTGCAAAACTCCGGACCGCAGGTGTACGCGGTGGGGAACGAACGCGCTACTGTCCTTTCCGGGAACTAACGCGGTCACCACCACGCCATGCAGGTCCTTCGTTTCGCCTGTCTCTCAGCTAGTTCTATCGATCTTTGCCACAGCAATCACCCATCAGCGGGATTGATCTGTGGGGCCCAAATCGGCAACGAACCCAGTTAAGCTGAAGCCGTAGTTATAATCACAATTTTAACTTATTATTTTCTGCCTACTCTTTCGAACTAGTTGACAGACAGGCGAGACGAAGGACCCGCGATGGTGTGGTGGTGAACGCGTTACTCCCCGGAAAGGACAATAGCGCGTTCGTTCCCCACCGCAGACACCTGTGGTCCGGAGTTTTGCAAATATTTCAGCATAATTGAAGTTATATTTCGCAATATACCCTACCATTAAAAAGAGTAGGCAGAAAATAATAAGTAAAAATTATCACGAAATAATTAGACAGGAATGGAGCATTTGTGGAAGAGCTCCTCCGTATCGGAAAGTCGTTTAAAAGAGGAGAAAAAACTGAAAAGAAAGTGAGTAGGAATCGATGACGAGGAGGCGTCAAGGATGACATTGCGTTTGATGATGCTCGCGGTGAAGTGGATTTCTACTGAGTAAAATTGGTTATGCATGCATGACAAGCCCGAAAACACCCATTTAGACTCACACACGGAAAACCTTACCTTTAATATCTATAATAAACGACTAAATTTAGGTTCACAATCAGGAAAGTGGCAGTAGTTATGTTAAAGCCGACTACGAGAGAAAAGAAAATGTGTACACATGGAAAGGAACACGAGAAAAATGAACGAACGACTGGGCACGCCCATCTTCGCCCTCTCCTTAAAAAATCCCATTGCCGTTATTTTACTGAATAGGAACAACAAAACTATAGTAAATGTATGAACGGACAAGTGTTAGAATGTTCAGTGGACGCCAGATGGCTGGCGTATGACTTCGTTTACATTATGTAAAATTGTGTACTTTGACTGACAGATGGCAAAAGGCAAACGGCATTGTATCTGTTCTCGTGTAATCATTATTTGCTTTGTTGTTGGAGTTTTCATGACTACCGTATTCGTTTCCGTGCCCTGGGCTAATCAAGCCCTCTGAAGTCGGCAAAAGGATACCCGAAGTGTCTTGCCCGACTTGCCAACGAGCAAGTATAACACCCACTTGTTCGGAAGGCCATCTGAACTCATTGGGCAGATCAAATGTACATTCAATCTCTTCTTCGGTGCTAAGAATGGGGTTGGATGCATGGACGAAACCGTGACTGATTGATCAAAACAGGGAGTCTTATCCTCTACGTTTCTTACTGTATTGGTGAATCTGCCAAACAATTCATTCGTTTTAGATATCGAGCAGAATCGCCAAAGTGCTTCTTTCGGAGAGCACCGGATAGAAGATCATGGTAGAGAACTACCTTCGTGTAGTCGGATAAGAACCGATTACCTACAAAAGTTAAATATCGACGGCAAAACATTCCGGCTGTTCTATCTGAGTTACTCGTTGCTCCATCAACTGATAACATCGATCTCTTTCTTAGACCAAACTGGATTCTTTGGCACTCGGTTTAGGTATTTTCTGGTCACCGTAGAAAGAAAGCCCCACAATGGTCGAGCTTTTGCAGTTTTCGCAGAAGCTGATTCGGCCGAAATGAGATGGTAGAAGGAAATCGGCTCGCAACTGCGTGCATAGCACAGTTCGACGAACGGTGGAAACCTAAGACCGTGGACGAAGTTCTCGACTACCAGCTCAAAATCGAAATCAAGCAACCAATAATTTTCTAGAGTCGGAATTCTATGATAGAAATCGGAAACGCACAAGTTATTTCGCACATGGAACGATAATTACTTGAATGGAACGGAGAAAAACCAACCAGCCACAATCTAACAATTACCAGCTGTTGCCAGTGATTGGCAGCTCGTAACTCTGGTCATTGTGAATCCAAGAGAAGTTTCTCGAAAATGTGAATAGATCTGAAAAATTCGAAACTTCCCCACTGTTCTCAGGGGCAATTCAAATCTTCTGTAGCATTTTTTCTTAAGGGAAACAGAAATCCTCACGCCGACAAGATCGAGATGAAAATTAACCAGCAGTCACTAGAAACAGATCCAACGAAGGTGAAAGGAACCCTTTTGTAATCTGAAAATCACAAATCCAAAAATAAGTAGGGTTAAATTTTTTTAAATATCCATAAGTGGCGAAGAGAATGTGAAACAAAGAAAGCCGATATTAATTTGT